ACCCATTTCCATTGACTTTCATTTTATGAAACACCTACTGTAGGAGCAGCAGTTTTAGCCGAAAATCTTCTTTTTTTTTTACTGCCTTTGAGTTATAAAGATTTAATTTGCCTTTTGAGCATTATTGATATTGAGCTATATGTTCTTGCATTCAATTTAGCAAAAACTATATGGGGAACAAGCCTCTTTCATGCGTGAAACTGACAGGCACCCTAAATAATGCATTATCAAAATCCTTTTAAATGTATTATTAAAGGGCACCTACAGTATGATGAAAATCAACTTTTGTACGCTGTTTGGACAGAACTGTCTGTGGGTATAGTGTGTCCACAGTCATATTGGAGTGATAGAATCACAATAGGTCTCTTTTTTTTCTGACATTAAAATAGGACATAAATCCCAGTGATTTTGAGATCCACCACAAAGTGAAAGGAGTCTGTTTTTTCCCGCCCACCAAATTGATTGACAGGTACCATGTCTCCATAATGTCCATGGAACATTTTTTTCGCAAATAAACTGGGATTAAAACATCTGTTCTAACTCTCTGTGATTTTTATAAGGTTAAAACATTTTAAAACAGAGCATGTTTGTAATAAAGACGTAAGTTTACATAAGTAAAATAGCTGTGTAATTCTTCGTAATTCAAAATCTGCGTAATTCTAAAATCACCATGGTGTCATTAAACGCACATATATATGTGTGTGTTTGTGTACTGCAAATGCATTTATTTTTGACTCATTTCAGAAAGGCTTGAATAAACAATTAGCTATGAATTAAATAATAAATACATGAAATCAACTTGGTATTTTTAGACTAATGAGCTGTTTTTCAGCTTCATCCGTGACTGCCTCTATCACTAACTGCTGTTTGTCTGCTGTAATGCAAGAGAAGCAGACATGCAGGGAGCTGTGGGGAGGGAAAAGCAAATAATTTGGATTTAAAGCCACAGGCTACAAAAACAGCTTCATTGGATTCAGACACTAAAATGGGCAGATTCTAGAGGCTATAATAAATTATCTGATGGGCATTTTAAGCTGAAACTTTACAGACACATTCTGGAGACACCAAGGGCTTATCTTACATTTTGTAAAAATGGTAAAATAGGTGCCCTTTAATTTTTTCGAAACAGGTCAAATAAAGATTAAATACAGGTCAAATTAGAACCTTATAATTAGCTTTAAAACAATGTGCCAACATGTATGAGGAAGTTACATTTAGTGCTGATTTATTACAAATTTTAGGACATTTTAAGTTAAACATAATATAGATATTTTCTTGGAATATAGTGGGTAATCCATTATTGCCTTTTGTTTGAAATAATGTTAAAAACAATTATTGTAATTTAGAAAAAAAATGTTGAGTATTTGACCTTAAATGTTCAATACTGCAAATTGTAGGGTGTTTTAGATGTTACAATTCTTTCTTTATTTTTAAATAAAAATTCTGCTAGTGTCAAGAATTTAACAACATGAACTTTTTTAAACATGAACTAAATATCACTTATCTTGACCTCTAAGATGATAGTATGCTAGTATGATAGTATTAGCTGATAGTATGGTGGCTGAGAGAGCTTAATGTGCTGCAATTTAATAAAACACATGCCATTACAAAAAACGCCAGCAAATTAAAAAACGATCTTGATCTGTTTGACAGCACATCCTCACAATGCAAACACATTGAAAAAAAAAAAAAAAGAAAAAAACTGCATTTTCCTACAACGCAAACAAATTAATAACCAGGGTATCCGCAGGGTCTTAAAAAATCTTTAAAAGTTTTAAATCTCAAAAGCTAAATTTTAGGCCTTAAAAAGTCTTAAATTAACTGAAATGTTGCGTTCTAGTCAACAGGTCTTTCCCTTTGTTCATCTATAGATCAACACCTATCACCAACAATCCATCTCAATAAAACCTTTAACTTTTTGTAGACTAGAGTAATTGACAGCTATTTTTTTGTTCTATTCTTGGTAATGGTTATAGGATTTGTGAATGGATATATTTGAAAATTAATGAAAAAATATTCAAGCAAAAATATTATTATTGTATTATTAAATGTATTCAATTTTAATAATTTAAAAAAGGCAAATGAAAACCTTTTCTAACTGGAATATTAAAAAAAGTTTCAAATTTCTTTCATAATTGTCTCAAAACTGTCTTTAAACATCTTAAATTTAACTTGGTGAAACCTGCAGAAACACTGATAAAGCGGGTTGCATTTTCTCACACAAAAAAACAATTTATGAAAAGTGTGCTGCTTTTTTACACAACACTTCCAAATAGCACAGAACACAATGGAAATATTTCAAGAGGACCCGAAAATGTGACAGATCCAGCTATAGGCTAATAAAATACAAAAGACAAGAGAATCAGGTTAGTAAAATAAACAAACAAAAACCTCACCTTCTAAAGATCACCTACTTTACTGAGCAATAGTCATGGCACAGCAGCACATTTTTGGGCCCCTTCAAACATTTCTGTTGTGTTCTGTACTATTTGCAAGTGTTGTGAGAAAATGCAGTATGTTTTTTAATGTGTATTTCTCAATTTGCTGTTGTTGTTTGTAATTGTACATGTTTTCTTAAATTGCAGCACATTAAGCTCTCTCAGCCATTGTATGATTGGCTCACAAATAAAACCCATTAGTAGTTGGAGTTCAACTTTGTAGGTAGAACCTTTTTTATTTTACAAATAAAAAGTCTGAAACTAAACACATTTTTCTACTAAGAAAAAGTAAAATTACTTTGGTTGAATTATTCCTTTAATATCCAAACAGATCCAGGGTGTCCAATCATACAATATTGTATTTTGACATCTGACCCAGCAGTGGCTGTGAACTATTTAGCAGCATAAGAATGTCTCTGCAGGCTGTTTAATTCTCAAGCTGGGTAGAAGCAAGACGAATTGGCAAATATTATTATGAGAATAGCCTGAGGCTTGTGAGCTATGGCTCATGATGCTGTGCAATTAGTCTTTTGTTTGATGTGGAGAATTCTGGTAATAAAAAAAATCTCCCTAATTGAATTTTCATGCAGCCCTGAAAACATTTAGCTCATCTGTAATGCAAGATAAACACGTACAATGCAACTCTGTGAATCCCAAGAGGGAAGTGTTAAAATTGTATGTTTATTTCCTTTGACAAGATGATTGAGAATCGAATATTCACAGTGAGAGGCTTGTGTTGCTTTATAAAAGAGGATGTGTCAATTTTAAAACAGAGCTTCCTGAAATAAAAAGCTCTTTTGAAGATGCTAGCAACTCTCCAGATGATGAGCATGCAGATGAGAATGGCAATATGCACTGCATGCTTTCTCTCATTAACAAAATAAACACACAACCCAAATGACAGTGGTGAGATCATAATGATGTGGATGTGGTTTGCAGCTCTGCAATTCAGCATTTCAATTCAATTCATCTTTATTTATATAGTACTTTTACAATGTAGATTGTGTCAAAGCAGCTTAACATAGAAGTTCCAGTAAATGTTCAGTGTCAGTCCAGTTTTCAGAGTTGAATTTCAGTTTAGTTCAGTTAAATGGTTTAATTTTCACTCCTGAAGAACAAATCCATCGATGTGCAGCTCCACAGTCCCAAAACAAACAAGCCAGTGGTGACAGTGGCAAGGAACAGACTTCACCAATTGACGAAAGTGAAGGAAAAAAACCTAGGGGGAAGCCAGGCTCAGGTGAGCTTGACCATTCCTCCTCTGGCCAAACTTCCTGTGCAGAGATGCAGTCTAGGCGCTGGAGGCTGGAGAACACTGAATGTTCATCGTGGAGATGCTGCAGGTGTGATTAGGTCACTGTCGAGTGATCAGTCCAGTGATAAATGCGAAGACTTGTCTGTCATTTCAGTCAAGTCACCTCAAATTTATTTATAGGCCTACAGCAATTAAAACATGGTAACAGTGTCAGCGTTTCTTTCTATTAGAATTACACCAGTTTCTGAGCAACTTTACCCAAGCAGTACGAGTCAGTGGGAGGAGCCACACCATATTACTGAAGGAGCGGATATCCTGACTGATGACCTGCAAATGACAACAAAGCATTTGAATGCTAAGCTCCTAATCAAGACTTCAGAAGAGGGAGTAGGAAATATCTAGTAGCATACTGAAGATAGCATAAAGCCTTGTGGAGACACTGACAGTGAAGAAGTTATTTTTCATCCACACTCCTGAAACAAGCTTATTAACTTTATTTTTGGCTGAATTTGTTTAAAATGTTTTCAAGAAATATTGTTGTGCTATAATTCTTTAGCAAAGCCCTAAACATTCATTAAACATGAAGGATTCTGATCAAACTGTACAATCGACCTAATGTGAATTCTGATTCAGTTTGACTTCAGATCTGCTTAGTGATTTAAAATAATATTTCACCCCAAAATTAATTTATTCATTATTTCCTCACCCTCAAGTTTTTCCTAACCTTTTTGAGTTTTTTATTCTGTTAAACACAAAAGGCAATTTTTTTTAGAAAGCTGAAATCTGGTTCAATGAGGTAAAACAACGGAAGTCTTATGTTTCAAGCTTTCTACAACATGTATATTTTTTTGTTTAACAAAGAAGAGTTTGTGTTTGACACTAGCCTAGATACCATATAAATTATGGGGGGCATTTACCCTTTCATAAGCAATTAATAAATTATTTAAATATAAAGGACGCACAAAAAGTCATCACACACAGTTGCGGGATGGAAATCAAATGAAAAGATGCTGCATTTTTTTTACCATGAGCTAAACGTATTATCGTTACATCCAGTTTCCATTCTCTCACGTTATATTAGAAACTCACGCGCTGTCTTGTTGAGCCAAAATGGCGCCTGTGAGGGATAAGCTGTCTAATGAATCGCCTGCGACAAAAAGCACTTAAGTAACACGTGTGTTTTCCCCCCTTAGCTAAATTCCTGACATATATTTTAATATGTTGCAAAATATTGCGTACTTGTATTTTTTTTTGAATATATAATATTAAAGATGATTTCTCGCATGCTTAATATTGTATTTCTAAAAAGGCACGGAGAAGAGGACCCACACATGAACCATAGCATGGGCCACTTATACCGTCCAAACATGGCAACTCACGAAGCAGATTCCGAAGCCGGTGTTGGTATGATTCCTCGCTTTTACCTCCTCATAATTCTGCCGCGTTGCATTTGTTGCAACAATAGTGTGTGTGAATACATCACTTCGAGCATTTTGCATCTGGGTTGAAGAAAAATGCATGCATCAGTCATGATTGCACAGTTATAAGTCCTATACTGCTAATTCGCTACTAAGAAAAGTGAGCTCATTTAAACTCTTCTTTCTATTTAAGAAGTATTTTATGGATGTTCTGTATTTGACAAAGACACGCTATAGTATTGAAACACCCTTTAATGTGTAAAACGTTTAGCAGTCGTTCGTTATGATTAAGTAGAGTAGATAATACGAAATCAGTTGCTTTACTGCATTTTAAGCGCCAGCTTCAGGTAATTAAAATTTCATTCATCCTAGTAAAAACCATGCTTTGAGAGAATTAGTTATAATGCAGGAAGTTAAAGAGAACCCGGAACTTGCGTTCGATAAGATCTCTGATTGGATGAAGCTAATCTCGATGTCCACGCTGAGCGCTCTGATTGGCTCAGAGTCAACTCGCGCTGTCCTCTCCAATCTGTCAAACGAAGTGAAATACAAACAAGCAGAAACGTATGAATGATATGCTCAATTACTGCGTTATTTACATGCCCTACGTTTGTATTTTTACGTCTTTATGTTTTATAGTGACGTATTTAATTCAGTAAAGTGAAAATAGGACTCTTTCAAAGTTTCTTTCACTTTCTTTTCCATATTTGAAGCGTTTACCTTCTTCAGCGTCTATGGCGTTATTGTAGTTACATTTCTCCTCTAGCAAAAACGCGACTAAACTGTCTCACTTTCTCAGGATTTTGTGGAAAGATGTGGCTGTTTTGTGCTGCACTGCTGGCTCTGGGCTCTGTCGACTCTGTCAATGGGGACTCAAAAGCAGTTACAACGACACTGACTACTAAATGGCCCTCGACACCTCTCCTGTTGGAAGCCAGGTTAGCTTCAATGCACGTTGCATGACCAAACAATGTTTACCTCCACATTATATGATGCCATAATATTCTACAGTTTGTTCCCTGCGTAAGACATTCAGGACAGGCTACAGTTTGCAAACAGTATAAGATGATTTGTACTTTACAGCGAGTTCCTTGCCGAGGAGAGTCAGGACAAGTTCTGGGCCTTTGTGGAAGCCAACCAGAACATTGAGAATGATCATGATGGTAATATTTGATCTTTTCATTTCATATTTTAGACATGCTGATGCCTGTCAGTATGATATTTGTTATGCTGTTATTACTCTAATGTGTAAAATGTTGTGTGTTTAATTGCATAATTTTCTGTGTAGTAAGTTAATATTATATGGGCTGCATTTATTTATTGCAGATCATTTGCAACAATCTTAATTTAACTTTATTTATTTTACTCATTTATTTTATGGTTAAGATTTGCAGCGTTTTTGCTTGGTGGAATTATATGGATGCAGTGTTTGCACTGAAGATTCATTCTTTCATGCTTTAATGCAAGAAACACACATTTATGCAATTTAAAAAAAATACTTTAAATAGAATGCATAATATAATACAAGGACCTTTTCAAAGTATGTCTGATAATATTATTTCTTCAGGAGAAAGTCTTTTTTTCCAGCTAGAATAAAAGCAGTTTTTCATTTCTTAAAAAAAAACATTTTAGAGGCAAAATTATTAGCCCCTTTAAGCTAGTTTTTCTCGATAGTCTACAGAACAAACTATGCTTAGAAATGTGTTGAAAAAAACTTCGCTCAGTTAAATAGAATTTTTAAATTATTATAAATAATTATAAATTATAATTATTATAAATTTATTATAAATAAATAAGAAACATGCTCCTCTGTAGCGTTAATGTATCATGCAAGGAAAGTGATTAAATCAAATTATAGTCTTGCATATGCAAATGTGTAGTTTATATTTAAAATATTCTTTGTTTTCACAACAGAAATTTGCAGCGATTGTGCAAACATATACACCATGTTCATCTAAATGTCGCTCTCAGCACTTGGATGGCACCTGGATGTTTATTTTAGGTTTATTATTATGTGTTCAAACCTTTAATGAGTTTCTTCTTCTGTTGAAAAAAAAAAAGATATTTATAAGAATGTTGGAAATTGTTAACTGCTGGCATCAATATTAGAAAAAGAAGGGCTTCCATTTTTCAAAATATCTTCTTATGTTTTCAACAGAAGAAAAAACTCAAAAAGGTTTGGGAAAAAGTGGAGAGGTAAGGGTGCTTTCACACTAGCACTTTTGGTCCACACCTAAGTTCGTTTGATGTCAGAGTACAGTACGCTTAGCTAGTTTGAATGTGTCTTCTGAACTTGGGTGTGCACCAGTGAATTGTACCCTAGTCCGCCTGAAAGAGGTGGTCTGGGGTACAGTTCACGCAAACTCTGCAATCGTACCAGCGGGCTTGAGCCAGGGCAATCACAGTGATAATGTCTGCTTGACTTCTTAAAAATAGCTTCTGCAGACATTACGTCATGTTCTGAACATTTAAAATATTTTGTGGTAGATGGACGCGCGTCGGCGGTTCATTTCGCTGTGGCAACCCTGGATAAATAAAGGGACTAAGCCAAAAAGAAAATGAATGAATGAACGCGAATCGCTTTCTATATGTCCAAAACCAAAAGACTCAGTTAAAGCAGAATGTGCTTACGTCTTTCTATTTTGGCGCTTTGCTTTTGTGTTCGTCACCTAACAACAGCCGAACACACTCCAGAAGCTCGATGATGCAAGCGTACCAGGGTTCAGGAGAAAAAAAAAGTCGAAAGAATGCTGAAAGAATTTTATGAGCGTTTTTGAGTAAACTATCTTTGTTTATAGTGAATTAAAATAGTTGCTCTTGAAATGCATTTAGCCAGTCAGATTACAGGACTCTTTCTCTATATTTCAGACACGGATCAGGCTTACTATGACCTGATCCTGAAGAGAGCTGGTGAGCTGCTGAGCCCAGTGCAGTTAAACCTGCTGAAGTTCTCCTTATCTCTGAGGGCTTACTCATCCACCATCCATTCTTTCCAGCAGGTGAGGGTGGCTGTTTAATGTAATGTAAACCAATATCTGGAGAGAACCTGTTTGTCATGTCCTTAAATCTTGCTGTTTGTTTATGCAGATTGCATCCAATGAGCCTCCTCCATCTGGCTGTAAAGCATTCTTTAATGTACACGGACAGAAATCTTGTGATTCTGAAAGACTACAAGGCATGCTGGACAATGCCTTAGAACGGTGAGTAGCAACAAGGTAATCTGTAGCCTGTCATACAGTATTATTCTATACTATAATTTATTATTTGCTTATTTCTTAAATTCCTAATATGTATATATTCCCATAATAAGTAGCCTTTTATCCAGTATTATACTATATATATATATATATATATATATATATATATATATATATATATATATATATATATATATTCTCAGTATGTTTATTCTTCTAATTAGTAAGCCTGTTGGAATGATGTCTGACATCAAATGACATCTTTAAATGACTTGTCTCTTGGGTATGCTTGAAAATATTGTTAATTAGTGTAGACTTGTATAGAAAGTAGAGACCCAATTTACTGCAGTGATATAAAAAATGAACTGGTGTGATGTCATTTCAAACATAAAAAACATTTAATTTGGAGTTTATTTCAGGGAATAATATCCAAAATGCATTTTCGTTTCAGGCCAAAGCCAAACCTGTTCAAAGGTGATCACAGATACCATTCAGCCAATCCTGATGCACCAGTTGTGATTTTGTACGCTGAAATGGGCACCAAAGAATTCTCCAGACTCCATCAACTGATGCTTTCAAAAGCCAACAAGGGCATGATCACTTATGTTCTGCGGCACTTTCTTGCTGTAAGAAGTAAAACTGCTATTATTTTAGTCAATATAAAAGTGTATTTTCATCTTAATACGAATCTCTTCCGCATATTCTGTCATCCATGCAGAGCCCAAGTAAAAGTAAAGTACACCTGTCTGGATATGGAGTGGAACTGGCCATCAAAAACCAGGAGTACAAAGCCAAAGACGACACACAAGTTCAGGGTATGATATCAGCCAGATTTCTTTTTTTATTGTGGCTTAAAATTACTGTTTTAAAGATATTCCTAAATGTAGCAAACTTATTAATGTTTTTTCTTTTGCTTTTTACAGCTGGAGCTGATGCAAATGCAACGGTAATAGGTGAAAATGATCTGGTGGATGAAGTGCAGGGCTTTCTTTTTGGCAAACTCAAGTAATTAAAAGGCTCATGCTTATTTAAGAGTACTCTCCACTGACTAACATGCACACTAATGTTTGAGATTATGTTTGACAGCAGCACATACTGTTGAATTTTACAGAACCATTTACCCTGAACTTAAGGAACAGCTGAAGGAGCTCCGGAAGCATTTGATAGAGAGTACCAATGAAATGGCTCCACTCAAAGTCTGGCAAATGCAAGGTGGGTGTTTCTGAACTGTTGACATCTATAAAATTCACATTTAATTCCTTCTCATTCGCTTTAGTGGCCTGTTGCATGAACTGAATACTTGAGTTGCAGAGTAGGTTTTGAGTTGATAAACCACACCAATCCAACCTAGTTAAGATCTGATTCGGTGGCTTCAAAACACTCATTATGAACATTCTCTGTTAACTCTGGGTTTAATATAGAATTTATAATTGGTTCTGGAGTGCGTGCAGCCTGAAGGATGACACATGCAGTAAACAGCCAGCCACACAAAGCATAAAGCATGTCGGTTTGATCAATTTCTTTTGGGAGCGCCAGCATAATTCACTTTTCTGTTGATTTATATAAGGAGATAACATTATAAAATATTTATTTATTTTATTTTATTTATTTATTTAAATTTATTTTTAAAATTATACATTTTTATTTATTTTTATTTATTTATTTTTATTTATTTAAAGGATTTACAAAATGGGAAACACTTATCTTGCGAAAGGTTTAGTAGGCAATAAACTAATTTATTTGTGAATATTTAATCTTTTTTTGAGATTTGAATAAAAAATAATAATATTAAGCATCCATTTAAATGTAATATAACAAATAAAGTATCAAAAGTTGGCCAATTTTGACAAAAAAAAGATGCTTTCACTGTAAATAGTGTTCATTTTGAGGAAAAAAAGGATGACATTGTTTTGTCAGATGTGTGTACATGTCAATTTGTTTATAACTCATTGAATCAGTGTTGGTTTGCGGCCTTCAGACTAGGATAAAACCATACTGTAAGGTACTATGGCTAGTTTGAGTCTGAAACCTAAACAAAAACCTACCTGGGTAATAATAATAAAAAAAGAGAGACCGGATTCATGCCACATTTTTGCCAGTCTAATCAAAAGTGGACAATGCCCAACACGACATATACAAGTTATATACAGGGTCTATAATGCAGTACAAACAAGTATATACAGGGTCTAAAATGTTTTGACCTTGTCCACTGTCTACCACATTGAGAGGTGGTCAAAAATGCATTTAATCAGCGTAACACAAATCAAATCAATCAAATCAGATATGATTTAATGCATTTGATTGGCCAGAAAAAGAGAGTGCTTGTTATCTGGCTGCTTATCCAATGTATTATTTATTATGGAAAGTTTTATGAGAAAGCAAACCAAAAGCAGCTATTCATATTGTGCTGCTTTGCCCCAGAAGTTGAAATCATAGTTGCCATCAAATCCTTTTTAATTGCTTGCTTCCTTACCAGCTCTTAAGGCACATAAGAAGACTTAATTAGTTCAGAAATACTTTATTTTTTTATTATTATTTTTTAAAGTCTTTCTTACCAATATTTGGCACCCCCTTATAATAATACTTCAAGGCTTTTCAAACTCAGTACCTGTGACTAAGGGAGCACTTGGGTAGCACAATACTCATTCTGACGGTATGCAAGCGTTGTTAATTAGCTGTGGTTCTGCTGGCCTTGTGTGGTTGTCAAACATAGCTCCCTCTAGCCCAGAGCTCATTACTGCTCTATCAAGGTAAACTCATCAGAGACTAGTCACATTTAGCAAAACCTCTGAGCACACACACACGCAGAGTTGAACACACTTTTCCCTGTGGTGCAGAAAAAAAGCTTTGCCACATCAAATTCATAATATGTTATATTGGTAAAATCAGCATACCGTATACAGGTCATGGCTATTTCAATTTCAGTATTTCAAGAGCAGAAATGTAAGTTAGGATAACGTGTTCTTTATCGTCCTCCTCAAGATCTCAGCTTTCAGACTGCTGCTCGTATCCTGGCAGCTCCCTCTGTGGATGCTCTCAATGTCATGAAGGATTTGAGCCAAAACTTTCCCACCAAAGCCAGGTAAATGGCCATTCATTACAAACATGAATATGATTGTCTAAACCACACACGATAAAGCAGCAGTACATATGATGTTGACAAAAAGTCCTGCTTCACATAGCTTTGTCATATATTTAACTTGTAAAGATTTAGTTCACCCCAAAATAAAGATTCTGTCATCAGTTTCTCACACTCTTCATGTTTCAAACACTTAAAGAATGTGTTTCCAAATACAAGTTAAAATTATTTTGATTAAACATTCTGATCCTCCAGTGAAAAACACTCAAAGCTTTAAAATAACTATGGTATAGAAATTAATAAAACAGTCAGGCAGTGACTCACTCACGCCCAGGCCCGGCGCCAGGATGTCATAACTGAGGGGGTATTTTAGTCCCATTGGGGGGCAATAGACCTGGTGAATGATTTTGGTCCCTCTTGTTCCTTTCATTTAGGCTATTTATTCACTTATTTAATATTACTTTGGCAGTAATAATCTTTTTTTATAGTAATAATAATATGCACAGTTTTGCTGTTACTGATTTTATCACTAAAGTTTATACAATGATACCGTTTACATAAATGACATATCATGGCTTCAGCACCAAACAAGTGGTTTAAATTATATTTTATTCTCCTTATTTCTTTCCACTTTATTTAAAATAATATAATAGCTTACAGGTAAAGGTAAAAATAAAGAGTTATGTTAGGCTATCATAAGTCTAGGTGAATAAACTTTCAATGGAAAGACTGAAATCTCTTAGTTTTGATTAAAAAGGTTCTAATTTTTTTCCCCAAATGAAATTCGATGTGACATGATATGAGTAAATAAAAACACAATTTTAATTTTCAACCCTTTAATTTGTTCTGATCGGCTGAGATTTTATAACTTTATAACCAGGAATGAAATATCATGTTTAGTATAAGATGTGGTGTGATATTTCACTTCACTTTTTTTCCTCCTGTTTATTGTTTTATTCCTATTTGCACTTGTAGTTTTGCATTTTCGTTTCCAAGTCATCAGAAAGTTTATCCTTAGTGGATGTTTTAGCATTCCTAGGTTTAGTTAACACTTAAAGGCGGAAAATGACTTGTCAGCAGTTCTATTGCAAAATAAAATGTTTTATTTGGTCCAGACAGTGGAGCTAAAATTTCTTTTTTTTTTTTTTTTCAATAGTTAGCAAATATATTTTAAATGTGTGGCTCACACTAAAATGCAATTTTGTTGAAGTGATCCTTGACATCATGAAGTATAATTTGCGCTCATACATCACCTATAGCAATTAACCGCAGCTCTTACTCATCCTGTATTTTTATACTCATTTATTTTTTAAAGCCTTATGTCTGAATGCAGACGCGCATGACGTCGATGAAAGCAATCTCATCGCCATCTAGTTAAACAGCACTGATTAAAAAAAAGTCAGTGCAGACATTTTTATGCAGATGATAGTAGCCGGGCATTCAAGGTTGGAATATAATGCATCACTGTGATGAACTAATGAATCATTCTCAGTTTCACCGCTCACATTTCTCTCTCCTCTCTCAGGTCCATAACAAAAACGGTGGTTAATTCGGAGATCCGTAAGGAGATTGAGGAGAATCAAAAGGTGAGGGCCACTATTGTCCTTTTTTATCGTCTTTTTTCCTAAAATTGTGGCGTCAGCAGGTATTCTCATTCACTACAGTTTTTTTTTTTGTCTGCTCCGCTGAGATAGTGGACTCAAAAAAAGAAGCCCAGTCAAGTCTTTGTTTTAGCCTCATAATTCACCAAGAAAAGTCTTCTCCTTTTTCATGTCTGAAATGAAAGGACATCAGTTGCAAAGTATATGAAAGTGGTAGAAAGGATCTTCAATCTTCTACACTCCGCTGCTTGTTTTCTTCTCGTTCTTTTATATCGTAATGCGCGTAAACACTATTGTTTTGTCACTGAAAAGGAAATGAATGAAGTAATTGCATCAAATTCGGTTTAAACGTGACTTCGGTCATTTCCTTTCTGTGATTAAAGCTGTTTCTTGCTGTTCGTAATGAGGACGGGTAACGGACCTGCTCCTCATTCCTCACTGTAATTGCACACTGGGAAACATGACGAATAGAGGCTCTTTAAGGTTCCCTAACGAGCTCCCTCGCTCTAATACATGTGCCTTTAGCGAATAACAAACATGAGGGCCACGGATAAAAGCATGAATATATAGAGTGGAAATGGCCCGAGGCTCAAAAGGGTGTTTGAATTATAGATCATATTGAGCATCTCTTTCAACTTCTGTTCTGCTCTATGAAGTGACAGAAACATATGTTTTATCCGGGGATTAGTAAGCCAAAGGGCTCGGGGAAGTTACTTTAAAGCTGGTAATGAGTGTGTCGTACCTAATGTCTCACATTCTCATGTCTCTTCTAGTATTTTAAGGGGACTTTAGGGCTCCAGCCTGGAGACTCAGCTCTGTTCATCAATGGACTCCATATTGACTTGGATGTGCAGGATATTTTCAGGTGAACAATGGATTACATTTAAAATTTATATTACATTACATTACATTACATTACATTACATTACATTATATTATATTATATTATATTTTGATTATTATATTGTAATGTAAATTTTTATTTTACATTATATTTAAATATTATATTATAATCTGATTTTTATGATTAAATTATTATAATTATTTTGTTTCATTTGGTTATTATATTAAATTATATTTGATTATTATATTTTATATTATATTGTTTTGTTTTTTATTATATTACATTATATTAGATTGTTATATTATATTTGATTATTATATTGATTTATAATGATTTTTTATTGCAATTTTAAAAATAATATATCATCACAATACATGTACAGTAATTTTTAAATTATATTTTTATTTTTACTCTTTTATATGAATGTATTTGTAGCAACAATATAAATATTTGCAATAATAAATGTAAAAAAGTCACTTTATATAACTAGCAACTTGTGATTATTTGTTAAAGTACAAATATTAAAAATGGTTAAACAGTTGTTCAAGTATCATTTATGGATATCAACGTTGATAGCAATTATTCTTAATATTTTTTGGATCTAGTTTATTTAGGTTTTTTTATGAATAGAAAATTTCAAAGCATTAGTTATTTAAAACAGCCTTTTGGTCAGTTTAAAATATTTTTGCACAGTAAAACAAGCTTCTTAAAAAAAATACCCAAAACTTTAGAATGGTATATTTGTGTGTGTCATGCAATAAATAATTGTAATTTAATATTGTTTTTATTTTGATTAATCTGATCCGAAATAGAAATTTGTTTTGTCATAATATATATGTGTGTGTGTGTGTGTGTATTATTTATTTATTTATTTATTTATTTATTTATTATACATTATGCACAGCAAAAACTTAGAAACAAAACTATACAAAAATATTTTGGAACAGATGTTTAAATGTGCATATATACAGTTAGGTTCATAAATATTTGGAAATTGACACTATTCTAACATTTTTGGCTCTATAAATCAACAAAGTTGATTTGTATTGGTTACAAATTCTTTGCAGGCAATTACAGCCTAAAGTCTGGAACACATAGACACCTGATGGGTTTGTTTTGTTTTTTCAGCCTAATGATGGCTTGCTTGACTTTTAGTGACGGCTATTTGGATCTAATCTAGAGAGTTGACAGTGACAGATTCCAAATGCAAATAGCACACTTGAAATAACTCTGCACTTTTAATCTGCTCGTTGTAATTGAGATAATGAGGGAATAACACACATGGCCGTGAAACAGCTGAGAAGCCAATTGTCCAATTACTTTTGGACCCTTAACAAGTAGGAGACACATGCTTGTTGTTATTCCTACACCGCATAAATACCCTCAAAGTAAAGCTGACAATCTGCAATTAAAGCACATCTTGTTCGTTTAATTTCAAATCCATTGTGTTGGTGTATACAGCCAAAAATGTAAGAATTGCGTTGATGTCCAAATATTTATGGACCTAAATGCAATTTGTCATTTATTTTAAATGCAATCATTTGTGATATTTTTTTTCTCCCAACACTAAGGTATATATTGATGCATATTTTGATCTGACATGGTTAAACTTTGTATGATTTTTGTTTCTTTGCAGTGTTTTTGATGTGTTGAGGAATGAGGCAAGGGTCATGGAGGGTCTGCGTAGTCTGCTCATAGAAACGCCATACATCCACGACATCCTCAAACTCAACGTTCAGCCTTCAGACTCTGACTATGCCGTAGACATCCGCAACCCTGCTGTTCACGTGAGCTACTATGAGCCAATGCTTTTATTTATTTGTGTTTTCTGATAGTTCTCAGCTATTAAATTTTCTGTACCAGTGGTAAATGTACTGTTAGTATTGGCCAGAATGCTTTTGTAAAATAGATTTTTTTCTTTCCTGGTAAAATAAAGGCTATAATAATAATGATGTTGATGATGAAAATAATAATAATGATAATTATGAAAGAATAATTCCAATTTTTCTCTTTTATTAGTGGATTAATAACCTGGAGACAGACGGCAGATATGCTTCCTGGCCCTCTAATGTGCAAGAACTGCTGCGGCCCACTTTTCCTGGAGTCATTCGACAGATCCGGAAGAACTTCCATAATCTGGTAAGTACTGCAGGTGGTGTGTTAACATGCAGTTCCATTTAGAAATCACACCATAAACCCCACAAACATCTAAATTCTGCAAATCATTTGTGCGTGTATTTGACAGGTGATGATTCTGGATCCGACCCATGAGAACACGGCTGAGCTGCTCGGAGTGGCAGAGATGTTTTACAGCAACAACATCCCACTCAGGTCAGTCTGAAAATAGACCGAATGTTATTACAAGAACATGATTAATGTTTCAGTTGTGTTCAAGTCAGAGCTGTGGCACAGTGGTATCACATATACGTAGGAGTTGTGGTTCTCCCTTAGGAAAGCTGGTTCAAATGTGGTCAATTACAGATGTCATTCTCATCCCTTCGACAATTTTTTTTCTTGTACCTACTTCTTTATAATAATAAAAAAAAATCACTGTCTTGGCCGTCCTGAAGGTTATTGTTATTGTTGATTGTAAAATCTGTATCTGTTTCTATCTCTCTGCAGGATTGGCGTGGTGTTTGTGGTGAACGATTCTGATGATGTTGATGGGATGCAAGATCCTGGTGTGGCTCTTCTTCGAGCTTTCAACTATATAGCTGATGACGTGGACGGCCAAATGGCCTTCGATGCTGTCATATCAGTAAGAAAACATTGAAGTGATTTGTTCAAAAATACTCGTTCATTCAGTAACAAACAAGTGAACTTTTTATAAGACATTTAATCATCCATTTAAGTGATTTGTTAAAAAATACTGATTCATCCAGTTATGCAGCAAGGCAAGTAAGTAGTTTATAGTATTCATTAAATTAATTACATATTTTTTAGATGTACTTTTGTGTCTGATTTGAGCTAAAAAAGTTTGGCCAACTCTAAAGTAATTATATCATATTAGACAAATCTAGTAAAGTTTTCAAATTCAATAGCAGCACTGGATCTCTTAATTAAGGAAAGATTTATATGATTTGTGGATCAATTGGTACCGGGCCACACTATAAATCATTAATTATTTCTATTTTATTTATTATTTGAGTCTGAAGGGTCTTTTATTTTGAAAAATCCTTTAATTTAAAAAAATTACCTTATTCTCTTGCTTCACCTAAAACCAGCAAAACGATTATGAAACAGACGTCTTCGGAAAGTTTCTTTGCCAAGAGGAAAAGGCCTAGTTAAGGACCCACTCAAGTTTTTGTTTCCAATGGAGGTGCACGCAAGCGACTTGATGCTTTTGTGGTTTCCTGACAGACACAGTTGAATGAATGCCGCAAAGAGCGCACCACAAGTCACGTAACAAGAACTGACCGTTCAGCTTGCAAAGAATATACATGTTTCGGTAGACTAATTGTCTTATACAAACACGTAACAGCCAAACACTGCAGTGCTTTGTAATTTTGTCCATAAATAAAACTTGTAACAGAGTGACAGCTTGTCATCCTTTGAGAAGACAATTGATGGTCGCCTAGCAATCTGCTCTGTGGTAAAATTGTCAAGCGTTCACCGGTCCGCGGTGATAAAAAGGTTGAGGACTGCTGATCTATATGACTTGCTGTTGCTATCCAGAATTTGGTGGAACTGGAGCAATAAGGGTCCTCATTGTAAAGACTGCTTGATTGGATGCAATTAGTATAGATAGGATGAATTATCAATGCATCTATTCTGTTTTGCTTTGTTTTTCGCCCCAAAAAAGAGAGTAACTGCATAAGGGTTTATTTATTTAATATTTTATTTCTATTTATAATATTTAAGATTTATTTAATATGAATTTATATATTTTTATATAATATTTTATTTTAATTTAATATTTTTTGTTTTAATTTTCAAATTTGTGTTTTTATTTTTTTTTCTCCCCAGATAATGAATAGGATTCCCAGTGGAGACAAACTGAAGGTGGAGCATGTGGTGGGTGTGTTGGAGAAGAGATATCCATATGTAGAGATCAGCAGCATCTTGGGCCCTGACTCTGCTTACGAAAACAACAGAAAAGTGAGTTTTTATTTTCTTTCTTTCTTTTTTTTCAAGCTATTGTTTGAGCTTTGAACATTTCAGCAGTGCCTCCTCCCAGGTCATGTTTTAGCCTGAAAGAGACACAATATAGAGGATGTGTTAATGTTTATATGTCTCCGAGTAACTATCAGCTTTATTGAGGTCATATCTTTTCTGTCTCCACAGGAGGGAAAGGCATATTATGAGCAGACTGGTGTTGGCCCTCTGCCAGTGGTGTTGTATAATGGTATGCCTTTACAGCGTGAGCAGTTAGACCCTGATGAACTTGAAACGGTCGTCATGCACAAGATCTTGGAGACCACCAGCTTTTTTCAGCGCACTGTCTATCTGGTGAGAATGACACGTCTGTCACCAGGGGTGTCCTCTTTGGTCAACATTTTTGAGTGGCAATACATTATAAAATTTCACTGCAGCCAAAAAAGGCTAAATCCTACTGACAACTGGCTAGACTTATCTGAACGAATAAATGATTGAAAATAATATAGCATTTGGGATATTTGAAAAAAAAATGAATGAAAACTCTCACAAGTGTTTTTAGAATGTATTCATCTACCAGTGTGTTTATTTTCATTAGTTCAGTTTGGTCTTATTTTTTTGTCATCCAAAATGCTTCTTGTGCATTCTTTTTCAGGGTGAGCTGAACAGTGATCATGACGTGGTGGATTATATCATGAATCAGCCCAACGTGGTCCCTCGAATCAATTCCAGAATTCTGAGCACCAGCAGGAATTATCTGGACCTTTCCGCCACCAGTGAGTTTTTGAGTTCTGACTGTATTCATTAAGCAAAATGTCTCCTGAATATTTTGCCGCTCTCTGGCTCTTTTTCTGTTGAATCGTAAGCAGCCTTTCTTTCTGTAAACTAGCTAGTTTGAGATATACAACACGTATGTAGACTCTTGGGAATGAATATCTGCCTCATTGTGAATTCTGTGCTAAATGTCTTGTTTGTTCTTGAAAGCCCATTTATTTACAAAGACGTACAAATGAGACTGCGGCAATGATATTCATAAACTGCTTTATTTTTTTTACGAAAATACGAAACTGAATTTTAATAGCTTTTGAATAGCATATTTGCAGTCTTTCAGGAAGCTGAGCAAAAGGCCCATTTCATACTGAACTCAAATAGCAGTCAATGTTCAGAAATAGCTGTGTTCGAAATGACTTCGCTCAGATTCAATTATGAATGCGAATGTGCCTCTTACCGAGAACAAAGAATGACCCTATTTTCATTTTCTCCTCAAGTGTTTGCCATCACCTGACCTCTAAAAAAATAAAAACAAGTTGTTTCTTTTCCAGATAATCATTTTATTGACGAATATGCACGTTTCCTGTTTTTGGATGCCAAAGACAAGAATGCAGCGGTGGCCAACAGTATGAATTACATGACAAAGAAAGGTAAGGTATTTTGCTGTTATTGGTCTCAATGTATTCCTCCATCCTGCTGCTCATCTATACAACATGACCAGTGGAGAGTTTTTTTTTTTTTTTTTTCTGGGGGGTTTTTAATGAAGTCTGTCATTGTTTACTTTAGTCCAATCTATATTAAAAGCCAGGTGCACACTGCAGTTTTGCTTCTTTAACTTCGGCATACAAAATGTGAATTCTGATGGGGTTTCTTTGAATCATATGTCCACACACGATACAAGTGAGTTTATATGAAAATCATTTGGATGCAGTGAGAATTAATGTGGCTTTATGACCTAATAAATTCCAAAGCTTGAAATTCTGCGCAAAAAATGGAGGAAGACATTGCTTTCAGAACCATTTTTTTTCTTTCTCTTTCTCTTACTACTGGCTTATTACCTGCTTATTATTAAGTTATTAACTGTTTTTTCGCACTTTTACAAATAACAATCACAAATTAACATTTTTCTCCAACTTTCAAAATAAACAGATTGTTAAATTTTATGAAAACAAGTAGATTTTTGTAGATCTTGCAAAAAAAAAAATCCTAAAACAAAACAATTACTTTTAAGCCATCACCATCATTTATAAATCAACAATCAAACACACAGTATTAGTTTAGTACACAAAATTATAATATTGTGTTTGCCATTTGTTCAAACAACTTATTTTTTAAATGAGCTGAACCAACACGCTGTAGCGAATTAGCTCAAAGGGAATCGAATATTCATTTGAATGGGGCTTCAAAAGAATAGACTCTTTAAATCCAGATGAACGAATCGTCCAGCGATTATTCAAATGGACTGTTGACTTTAATTACTGCTATTGTCATCAAAATAAAAACCCATTTATGTTTAAGCAAGGTAGCAAGATCGAAGTTTAAAACATTCAATTTATAAATATGCAAAGGCACTTTTATTTATACAAAATGACACTTTATTGACTAACAGAAACTAACACCTAACACAAACACACATTCATACAAGTGTAGAGAAGAGTAAAAAAAGTAAAATAAATCAAAAATAATCTATTTAACCCCTTTATTGTCTCTTTGGGGTTGCATTATTTTACACCAGTTCAGTGGTAGTCTGGAAGTGCTACTTGTGTTTCATTTTTGATGAGAAGAACTCCCTCTGTTGAGCACGTGGCTAGCTGGTCATCAGGTCTTTGTCCTCATCAAGATTGGAGTGGGGTGGAGTCGGTCGTTTCAAGTTTTCAAGTAGCAAAATGGCTAGTCGTGTTTGACTATTGGTTTTGGGGCGCACTAAACTAGACTCTCAACGGGAAAGAAAGAAAGAAAGAAAGGTATCGAAGATGGGAATTTCTGAGCTAGTGTGGTTAACCCATTTTGTCTGCATCCCCGCCTGCTTCCTGGAGTCCTCTAGGGTTCTCTGTGTTGGGTTCAAGTTAGAGATCTGCACGTGACAAAATTTTGAATCCTGCTCCCGCCAGGTTTTAGTCTGAACCCGACCGCTCCCGCTTGTATTCAGCATTTGTTGTCCCGCTGCCCGCCCCGCCCCATTTTTTACTCACCGCGCCCTGTTTCCGCTAACGAGCAGGGGAAGAAAAAAAAACGAAAACCACCCAGCTATACAAAGTCCCGACAGCCTATAACAAGCTGTCTGTATAAACACACATAAGCACCAAGCAAGTGACACGCACACTTTGACAGCATCGCACTTTCTCTTATTCTCACACATACACACACACACGCACACAGACAAGCTAAACACAGCATCATGCTCTCTCATTCACACACATACATACGTGTGCTCGCTGGCTCAGGAGTTGGGAGCGATATTGTTAGACCGCCCGCTCCAGTTACACCAGTTACCGACCACTCCTGCGCTTTATTTGGAAATGTATTCCAAATTGATATGAGTCGCAATAAATCTGGTCGGGTCCTAATTTAGACCTCTAGTTCAAGTCTTTTTCTGGCCTGTAGTCTTCTTCTAGCTTGGGTGTTCTTCTCTGGCCTGGGGTGGGGCCTTAGGATAGTAGCTTTTACAAGGATGGTTTATACCCACCCTCCAGGGCCAAGTTGGCCAATGAGAAGTTAACTTTTGGTGTTAAAGCATGTTCGTTTGCAATTTTGGTGTACACTGATGCAGGAATGTTCAAGTTTCTTAAAATGTTAATATGTTGCACACATATTAAGATGAAATGTAAACATTCGTTCAGTACACCAAATTAGCTTTGCAGGGACATCAAACATGAACTATCTTTGAGCTTGTTTAGCTGTGGTAGAGTTAAACATTGATTGCAGAAGTATTAAAACCATCATATGAATACAGGAGCAAGAGAAATGTTGCAAAACACCTGATTACACAAGGAGAGAATAAAAGTTTACCTTAAAACATCAGTCTTAACCCACGAGTTTATAGAAGCTCTCTGTGTCCAGTTCTGAGCACATTTTTTTTGTGTCAAATACCTTTGGATCGGATTCCAACTGACCATCCAGTCTTTTCTGGATGGGAAAAGCCAATGCTGTGTTTGCTGTTGCATTTGTTGAATAAAAGCTAAATTATTAGGTGTCTGAACAACCACATTCGTTACAACGCATATTGCACTACTTTTTAAAATTATTTTTGCACCTCTATGAAGCTTGCATTTACATCTTGTGCATCATTGGCATACTTAAAGCATGTTTGTTACACTATAAAAAATATAATGACAAAGTCTAGACAATAAATATTTTAATGTTGCTTTAACTTATTTTAACAAGTCAATCAGGTTTCAACTAACTCTAAGTTATACAAAGTTTGACTTAATTTGATTCAACTAAAAAAATGAAGGCAGCTAGATTTTTTTAGCAGTGTACATTGGGTGGTATTTGTATTTAAAACCATCATTATTTTATTATTTTACTTCATAAAATCTAAAAATACACTGTAAAAAATGCTGGGTTAATATAACTATGTATAACTTAAGTTATACAGGGTTATAACTTAAGTTATACATGAGATGTCGCAAAAAAAAAACAAAAAAAAACAACAACTCAATAATTGTGGTGTTCAGCTCATTTTAAGTTGTTAAGTAGGTTGAACAAACATCAGAGTCATTTTTGAGTACCTATGTACCTACCAATCGATACTGAAATTTTAAAAATGTCAGTTTTCTGCCATTTGTGTGCTGTTGCAACAGTAATGACTGTGATTAGCCATGAAGGTCATCAGTTCACCGCTGTTTACTGAGTGTAACCACAGATAGAGGGACACTGGAGCGTTTTAAAGTCGCAATTCATCAGTGAATCGCTTGTTTGTCAGCTTAAAGACAAACCAGCTGATCGATGTGACTTTGATATGCTCTAATGTTCATGTACCTGTGGTTACAGTTAGTAAACAGCGGTGAGTTCAGTGAAATTATGACCTTCACGGCCAATCACAGTCATTTCTGTTGAGCACATGAACACAATGGCAAATCAGCTCTGTTAAACAATGTGCTCAACAGCGCTCATGTTAACTGGAAATTAACATTTTTAAAATTTCAGTAATGATTGGTACCGAATTCCAATATCGTGACAACCCTACCTAGTACTACACATCCTGACTTTTTTTGTTAGACATTTAATGTTGGCTTTTAACCAAGATTTTGTTGTGCTTTACCATATAATCTGACTGGCAACAATTGTGGAAAACTTATAAAAAAAAGAATTGCAGTGTACACCTAGCTTTAGACACTGTAACCGCTAAATTTATCTGTCTGCCTTCTGTTTCTTCATTTCTTTTTTTTCTTTTTCTTCGACTGCTGTTTTCAGGGATGTCAACCAGGGATGCTTCTGGTAATTGCACTGAGCTGTTATACTCACTGAACTGACATCCCATTTCCTATTGATCTCATCTAAACACAATGTGCTGGAGTGCAAATGTTGTTAGAAAACGCCTCCATTACCATCATTAACATAACCCTAACTGTTGCTTCAAGGAATATTCTGGGGTATTTTAAACGTAACGGTTGCGCACAACATCTACGGCATGCTGTTCAATTTACCTTTCTCATAGTTTGCACGCACAAGCGAGAAATGCCTTTATAGGAATATACTTCTAATGGAAGCCTAGCCGGCCATTTGTATAAATATTTTAAATCTCTAGTTTGTTTGTCCCACAGTTTTGAACACATAAATATGACAGTGCATTTTGCATTTAGGCTACAGTAAACCACCTAGTCAACTTTATAGTTTACTAGCATTCCGACCCCTAAATGGAAAAATATTATCTGAATGTGCTGTGACTTTTATTCTAAGTTTTATTTTATTTTATTTATTTTTATTTTATTTATTTTTATTTATTTTTTTAATCAGTTTTATTATTTTTTTTATTATTTTTTTTTACTTGTTTCTTTTATTCTTGTTTATGTAAAGCACTTTGAATTGCCACTGTGTATGAAATGTGCTATATAAATAAACTTGCCTTGCATTTTATTATTTATTTATTTATTATTATTTTTTTATTTTATTGAAAATTTTTATTTATTTATTTATTTTTAAATGAGACTGCCTTCGTCGCGCCTTAAGCGCACTTCGAATGCATCTTTCAGAGGATGCAACCTCTGAAATGAGATACAGCTACTGACAGTTCCACTTTTCCCCATTCAAAAGAATACGAGTGACATGTCTTGTGTATTCTATAGTCTTTGATATAACATAATAATATTGTGTAGTACTACAATGTGCATGTATGAGGAATCCGCTCACAGTATGCAAGCTTATGAAATCCTTTTAAATGCATGCGGCCGTGTACTTCTTCCGCTATTAAAATTGCATGTGATGACTACATGCGCTCTATGTACATTATAAATAAAGCCAAGACGCACATTTGTTATTGTCCTCTGCATATCAACTATTCTTATGTCATTTATTTAGTGCTACAGTCGGGCACTTCAAATTTAATAACTGAAAGTTTAGATGATATTACAAATTTGAAAAAATATGTTTTATAATTAATTAAAACTATTAAGTTTCCCAGTGTTGGGTTGCAGCTGGAAGTGTTTCCTCTGCGTACAACATAAGGATAAGTTGGATAAGTTGTCAGTTCATTCCACTGTGGCAACCCCTGATTAATAAAAGGACTAAGTTGAAAAGAAAATGAATGAATGAAAACTATTAAAAAGCAGGGATTACGCTAAAGGAAAAGTAAAGAGATCTCGTCTTCCTCCTTTTCTGACCTCGGCTGATCACATGCTACTGATCACTGTCAACTGACATTGTCAATATCAGAGGACAGAAAAAAAGGAAATTGCAATAATTTTATTAAATGTTATCAAACCATTTAAACATTTTTTTACTCATAACCTCTTAGTAATTGATTGGATAATATTGTATGTTAGTGCTCAAAAAATACAATGTTCATATTCAAAAAAAGAAAGAAAGCACCTTTCAGATTCAGATGCAGATATATTTATTGGGACATTGACAGGAATATTTGTCACAGCATTAACATTGCACATACAAATTGAATATAAATTTACAGCAGTTGTAAACACCCCAGAATCTTCCTTTCATAGTGTGATTTTTATTTTTTTTCCCAAGTTTTCAGATTAGTGTCTTGTTGTTCTTGTTCTTTTTTCCTTTTAACGTAGTGAAGAAGTTTTCTAAAGCTCGCTATTGATTTACGCGCAGCTGTGCATTTGTCATCTGTCAGAACTGTCAGTGAGTGATGGATGAAGGAGAATCTCTTTCTATCCTGTGGTCCCATGTAATATCTTTCTTTTACAAACGTTTACAGGTTTATATCTCAGTTGAAATTGCCTGTCTGTCTTTTGCGTGCCGCTTGGGCACTTCGGGAAACCTCTCGCTTTCTTGATTGCTAGCACCCGAGACAAGCGAGAGTCCGTTTCAGTTCCTCCCATCACTTTCACTCAACTTTTTTTCGATTGCATGAGGAAAAGCGCACATCTCGGCGGTGTAATTTCCTTTTAGCCCATGTGTCTGCTCTTCTGTGACTTGCAGATGATGGCATCATCCGTCCGGTGACTTTCTGGGTAGTGGGAGACTTTGACCAGCCATCGGGTCGACAGCTGCTGTATGATGCCATACGTCACATGGTAGGCGAATGTCACTGAACAATTACTGTGAATAGATCCAAATTCTTTCACTTCAAGTAAATCGAGTGTCTATGTCAGATTAACCCTTATGTGTTGATCAAATTGACTACCCTTTGTTATGTTAATAGCTGTTTTTGCTCAATTGACTTCCACCATAATGCAATTATTATACCATATAAGCATGCATTCTTCATTTGTTGGTTAAAGAGGTAAAATTTGCCATTTTTACTGTTGATTGTAAAAAAAAAATGTCATTATGGTGGAAGTCAATGGTGCAACAGCCACAAACATTAAGAAAAGGTAGTACATTTGCCCAGAGTATATTGAGTTTAAAATAAATAAATAAATAAATCAAAGCATCTACCCAAAATATGTGTCAAAATTAGATTTGTCACGAAAAATCATTCCATTTCCTAAAACACGGACAAAGTTGTGACCAAATTAAGATTAAAAAAGACCGCAGAGTGCATGAAACAGCACGTTAGGGTTAATTGAGGGCTTTTTCATAATTTTTTCCCGCAATTGTTTTTCTAATATAAATGTGTTTTCATGTGACTTTAAAGCTCAATACAATATTTGTACATCAACATTATTGCAACTTAGCACTGTCACCTCACAGCAAGAAGGTCGCCGGTTCAAGTCCAGGCTGGGTCAGTTAGCGTTTCTGTGTGGAGTTTGCATGTTCTCCTCGTGTTTTTGGGCTTTCTCCGGGTGCTCCGGTTTCCCCCAGAGTTCAAAAACATGCACTATAGGTTAATTACATAAACTAAATTTGACGTAGTGTATATTTGTGAATGCAAGAGTGTATGGGTGTTTCCCAGTGTTGGATGGTTGCTGGATGGACATCTGCTGTGTAAAACATATGCTGGATAAGTTGGCAATTCATTCTGCTGTGGCGACCCCAGATTAATGAACGGACTAAGAAAATTAAATTAATGAGAAGAAAGTTAAATGAATGAATGTTTTTTTTTTTTTAAGTATGCAAATGGTGGCTCAGTGGTTCGCACTTTTTCACCTCACAGCAAGAAGGTCGATTGTTCAAGTCCCGGCTGGTTTGCATGTTCTCCTCATGTTGGTGTGGGCTTCCTCCAGGTGCTCCGTTTTCCCCCTCAGTCCAAAGACATGCGGTTTATGTGAACTGAATAAACTGAATTGGCCTTAGTGTATGTGTGTCAATGTGAGAGTGTATGGGTGATTAATAAAGGGACTAAACTAAAGGTGAATGAATGAATGTTTTACAAGTAAAAAGGACATTTTCACAGTATTTTTTTTTCTGTAGAAAGTCTTATTTCATCTAGTTTGGTGGTAATAAAAGCAGATTTTATAAAAAAAGAAAAAAAAATAATTATATTTCCAGTTATTTGCTTAATTAACTTGCCTTATTAACATAATTATATAGCCAATCCTTTAAACTGCACTTAAACCTGAGTACTATTAATTTGCTAAATAACTAGTATGGCAAGACAAATTAAATAAACAATTAGAAATTAGTTATTAAAACTATTTTCTTTAAAAATTTTCTCTTTGTTAAACTTGGGCATTATTTAAAAAATAATTCTAATAATTTTGTATTTTAACGTGTATTTTTAACATTTTAACATCCAGAAACAATAATATCATCTAATATAATTTTATAGAGCAACTATTTCAGTATACTTTAGGATAATTGTATATGCTTTAGAGATGAATATTTTTATGATTTTTATTTAATTAAAATATGATTATACAGTATGTACAGATGAAGTCAGAATTATTAGCCCCCCTTGAATTATTAGCTCCCCTGTTTATTTTTTACCAATTTGTGTATAACAGAGAGAAGATTTTTCAACACATTTCTAAACATAATAGTTTTAATAACTCATTTCTAATAACTGATTTATTTAATCTTTGCCATAACGACAGTAAATAATATTTTACTAGATACTTTTCAAGACACTTCTATACAGCTTAAAGTGACATTTAAAGGCTTAACTAGGTTGATTAGGTTAACTAGGCAGGTTAGGGTAATTAGGCAAGTTATTGTATAACAATGGTTTGCTCTGTAGACTATCAAAGAAAAATTTAACTTAAAGGGGCTAATCATTTTTTTTTTTAAATGGTTGTTAAAAAAAAAAAAAAAACTGCTTTTATTCTAGCCGAAAATAAAATTTCTTCAGAAGAAAAAATATTATGAGACATACTGTGAAATTTTCCTTAAACATAATTTGTGAAATATTTAAAATGAAGAAAAAAAAAAAAAAAAAAAAACTCAAGGGGGGGGCTAATAATTCTGACTTCAACTGTATATGATTATAAACATTTTAACTTTTATTGGTTTTATTTAGATTATTTCAGTTTTAATAGTCAGTTATTTAAAAAAAGGTAATAATCTTCATCATTTATTTTAAAATAATTAGAATAATAAATCAGTTTGAACAATACAAAATTGTTATTGTTTTAGTTGACAATAGCCACAATGGGTGTTTAAAATCTTTTTTTTTATTAAACATCCAGCCTTTAACTGTATCTGACAGATTGAAAAAGGAGGTCTGAACTGATCTCAACTTAATGTCCTTTTTATTTTTCCTTTAGAAAACCAGTAATAATGTGCGATTAGGACTGATCAATAACCCCAGTGAGAACCCCTCTAATGAGAACAGTCTGATCGCTCGAGCCATATGGGCAGCCATGCAGACGCAAACCTCCAACAACGCCAAAAATTTCATCACCAAAATGGCTAAAGAGGAGACGGCGCAGGCTCTTTACGGAGGCAGTGACATTGCGGAGTTTGCTGTCGGGGTAAAATAAGCTCTCCTATAATTCACTTACAGTCGTGATGGATTATTTGCTCTGGGTTGTTTCACTGTTGCTGCTGCGAATGTCACTTTTAAAAGTGCAGGATTTAATATAGAAACAATTTAACCAGACGCTTCTGCATTTTCGACACTACAGGGCATGGATGTTCCTCTCTTTAAGAGCGCGTATGAGTCTCCTAATGTGAACTTCCTGCTGGCTCATTCTGCGTACTGTAGAGATGTCCTCAAACTGCAGAAGGGCCAGAGAGCTGTGATCAGCAATGGAAGGGTAAGTAAAAAAATTTGCCTGAATGAATCCACTTTTTTTTTTCTTCCTACGCCCTTTGATGCTTTGCTTAAATTATATGAGTAACTTTCAGTAAACTGTTAAAATTTTATGAAGTGCTTTGAAAACTGAGTACAGTGTGTCATTATTCTCCTCTATGTTCATCTGTCGAATATTAAAAAGCAACTTATTAGAATGAACAAATTACTTTCATCAGACCATCAGGACATGTTGAATATTATTAAACATGTAACATTATTTTCATGTCAGAAAAACGTAAACAATAAACTTCTACAGCAGGGAAAATAAGTATTGAACAGCAGCATTTTTCTCTTAAAACATATTTCTAAAGGTGCCGTTGACTTGAAATTTTCCCTGGATGTTGGTAACAACCAAGTAGATCCATAAATGCAAAGAAAACAAATTGAATTAGTTTACAGATTAAGTTATGCATAATAAAATGAAATGTGCAGGGAAAAAGTATTGAATGCATGAAGAAAGTAAGGGTGTAGAAAGGCAGTGAAAGTCCAGTCAGTAGCTGAAACCTCTCAGTAATTTTTCACCAACCCTCTGCCCTTCGTCACTGTAAATGAATATTAGCTACTTTGGTCCAACATCTACATTATCAGATGATGAAGATGAATTTAATTTCAGCCAGACAATGATCCAAAACACAGCCAAACTCTCAAATGCTTTCAGAGAAAGAAAATCAAGCTGTAGAATGGCCTAGACAATCACCTGACTTGAATCCAATAGAAAATACAAACTAAAGATCCGATTTGATAGATTTTGATAGAACCATCAAGGTGTTTACACTTTGTTGAAGTCAAATCACACCTGAGCAATTGATGTGACTTCATATCCCCATATCTCCAAGAGATTTTTTTTTTCATGTTTATGTTGTTTGTTTTTTTACCAAAATCTGGTTCAATTCCATGTCAACAGCTTCTTTTAGAAATCTTATTCTCAAAAATAAAAAATAAAAAAGTTTAGTACTTATTTTCCCCGCTGTATGTATATGGATTACTTGTACAGGGTTGTACATCCTAGTTAATGCTTGAATTTTAACGTTGTGTTTTTAAGGTTTAAAAAAAAAATGTATATAGTTATTAAAACTGCTAGAAAATTCAACTGTGTTGGTTATAATAGTTTATCAAAATATACAATAAACTATTTAAATGAAATCTTTAATTTAGAATGTATCTGTTTGCTTTTGCATAAAAGGAAATCTGTGGAGTCTGATCTGCATGTCGTTTTCTGCATGATTTGATTAAGCAGTAGGAGTCAAAATGCTTTACAGCTTTGAGTGAATAATGCACAAAATTAAAATAAATATACATATGAATTTTAAAATAAAGATGACATATTTTAAGATGCGAGTAAATTATATTTAGAAGAGTAAATGACAGTAATTCAATGTTAGGCTTGAAGTAAACCATCAAAAAATATCATTCTTCTTCTTATTATTATTCCTTATTATTTCTTTTTTTATTGAAAACCATAAAAAATAACATATATTGTATGAAGACTTATGCAAATAAATCTGTGATTTGCCCCTTTGTAAACTTAAGGTCTTAAAATGTGCTTGAAAAGAGCCTAAATTTGAATTTGGGCAAGGTGTAAGATCACAACCCTATTGTTTGAGGTTCATTAGTTAAATTCTTTTGAGTAGAAGTTCTCCAAAGTGAGAAAAAAAAAAAAAATTTAAAACGCATAATTTTGAAACCCATAAGTAGGCCCACATGGAATCTGGACTCACAGAAATTAACAGATTTTTAGCCCATCAATGAGTCCGTTTATTAACTTGTCTAAATGTGTGTACATTTATATTTATTCAGTTTTTAAATTATTTTAATTTTAACATTTATTGACTAATATAAAAATTGTTCATTTGATTTTTTTTTTTTTTACAATACAGTTTGTAAAGTAAAATGTTTTGTCTTAGTAAATATATCATATGAGAGACTAAAGTTAAAAAGTTTTTTTATTTTTTTATTTCATATATTGAGCTTTTGTTGTGATACTCCCAAAATTGTTCCGCATTGATTTTGCAAAATTCTTCGCAGAAATAGCAAAAAATGTCTGCAGATTCTGTCCAATAAAATCCTACCAATAAGTCATCACAGATGGAAAAAGCTGGAAAGAAAGAGTGAAAGCTGTATCTTTTAAGTTGATTCTGTATCTTGTTTTATCTCTCAGATCATTGGCCCACTGGAGGAAAGGGAGGTCTTTAACCAGGATGATTTCCTGCTTTTGGAGAGCATTATTCTGAAGACATCAGGGGAGCGGATAAAGGGCAAAATCCAACAGATGGGCATGGTAGAGGACAGGTATGTTTTCAGTTTTCAATGGACCTCAAAATAAGATCATCCTCATTTAGTCTTAAAATTCAAAAGCCATCTAAATAGTTACTCATGGAATGAATCAAGAATTGATTGTTTACTAAGCCACTGCAAGAAGTCATGAAATCATGAGCCGATTTGCATCAAAACATTACGGTACTTCACATTAGATTCTGTACTTATATAATTACAAAACAGTTGTGAACCAATATCGTGGTAAACGCTATCGCATTATTACAATTTAAAAGTTTAACCCAAGAATAACTAAATACTTATTAACTGGAATTATACAAATACAAATGTTTCAGATAGTCATCAGTGACACTTTTACTTTCATTTAGCACTTGGGGAGTATTCATTTTAAGCCCTGTTTGTGCTGTATAGCTAATAGCAGAGCTCATTCAGCACAGAATGCCCTCCTGTCAAAGCTGTGAAAGGATTACGGCTATACATTTCCATCACATGTCGTTTCAGCAGCAATTACTTCCTTTTAATGAAGTGTGTCGGTCTACTTTGAAGGAGATGTTTAATGTGTATTTGCTGGAAGAGCAGACTGAGACAGTGACACCATGTTCATTTATCCTCTCAGTAAACTTTTAGAGGGCTGGTCATTGTAGTGTTGGCTATAATAGATGAGGCAGTTGTTTGCTTTTTCAGTGTTTGAATCTTTTTCTTGAATGTTTAAAACTTTTCCCCAAGTCTTCCTTCTTGGTTTTGGTTATTTGTTGTGCATATCTGCACTGCACAGGTTTAAGACCAGTTTCTTATCTCCTCTTTGCAAATATGGGAGTAAATGTGACAAGTTAGAGGATGCAACACAAAAAGACACTTCAATTTACCTTTTTTTGCTTTACCATGCTTTGAAGGGCCAGCCGATTCGAATGTTATTACTCGATTGAATGGGCATTATCAGCTGATAGATATAGGCCAGTAGGGGCCTTCTGCGCCTACTAGTGGTTAATCAGCTATAAATCAGATATGGCAGCAGCCAGAAGTTAACGAGAATCATTTATATTATTTATTAAATGTCCCATTAATTGTATTGTAACGTCTACCCCTACCCCAACCCTAAACCCAACCGTCACAGTAATATAAAAACAGATCTGGATCTGGTGTCTTCTCTATTTGTAGGGCTAATTAACCATGTGGATGGATAATAACAGCCTTCTGAGCCTACCAGTACCTATTAGTACCTATTACCTATTACTATTACAGTACCTATTACACCTAAATCGAGTGATAACATTTGAAGCTGGTGGAGAGGCAAAATCAACATGTATTAAATGTTAATATTTAATCAAAGTAACAATACTTTTTAGTAGTAGTAGTAGTAGACAAATCTTTTTATTGAACTTTTAACTTTTAAAACTTTTAAAAGAGCACATTTCAAGTATTTGGGATAAATCTGTTCTCAAAATATGACAGGAAGGGTCTCCAAACTTTGAAGAATCTATTATTTGAGCCCTGGGTGCTATGTTTGAGTTTTTCGAGCTTTAGATACGCCATGACATTTTCTACCCATTTAGTATGTGTTGGTGGTTTAGTTGACTTCCACTGCAAAAGAATAAGTCTTCGGGCCAGCAAAGTAGAGAACGCTAGTGCATTTAATTGACCTGCTGGTAGTGTAAGATTTTCAGGTGTCGCACCAAATATTGCCATTACTGGATCTGGTTGTATCTCCTTTTCACATATATAAGAGAAAGTCTCAAACACCGCAGTCCAAAATGGTCTTAGGGATGGACATGTCCAGAACATATGACCTAAGGTGGCCTCTTCTCTGTGGCACCTAGAGCATGTTGGGTCAATTTCTGGAAACATTCTGGACAATTTGCTTTTAGAAAAGTGCAGCCTATGAATTATCTTAAATTGTAATAAACCGTGTTTGACACAAATAGATGTTGAGTGAATTTGCTTAATTGTTGATTGCCAGACTGACTCTGGAACTATATTTCCTAAGTCATCTTGCCACTGTTTCTTTAGAAAATCTAGAGATGGTGCAGCTGCTCTTTGAATCAGACTGTATATTTTTGATATCAGACCACCCTCAGATGCATTTAGATCAAAGATCTCCTCAATCCAGCTACTTATGGGAGGGGCTGAAAGTGTATTAAAATACCTTTTTACTAGACTTCTTACCTGAAGATATCTGAAGAAATGTGATTTAGGAATATCCAATTCTTTAGTCATATGTTCGAATGACATAAAATGACTTCCTTGAAAAAAGTCCCTTGCATATCTGAGTCCCTTTCTAAACCAGATCTGAAAAGCATGATCAATTAAGGATGGTGGAAATAATGCATTGGAAGTAATGGGTAATAAAGAAAGTGCTTGTTTCTGCTTAAAATGCATCCTAAACTGAGCCCATATCTTTATTAAACCACTGACTATAGGATTGTTTGGCAGATATTTTCTGTTAAGTGGTAGTGGGGCACAAAGCATTGAAAACAGAGAAACTGTCCCACAGGATGCCTGCTCCATCTCTACCCACTCAGGTTCATTCTCCTGATTTTCATGATCTGTCAGATAAACAATTTTTTCAATGTTACATGACCAATAGTAATACATAAAGTTGGGCAACGCCAGTCCCCCAACTTCTTTCTGCCTTTCTAAAAATGCTTTCCTAATTCGTGGAATGCTTTTATTCCATATAAAAGAAGACACTTGTTTATCCAGCTCCTTAAAGAAGGATTTAGGAATGAATACTGGGACATTTTGAAACAAAAACAAGAACCTTGGCAAAATAGACATCTTAACCGCATTAATTCTGCCTGCAAGAGAGATAGGCAATAAAGACCATCGGTTTAAATCTTGTTTTGTTTTTTCCATCACTGCATCAAAATTACATCTAAATAGCTGTTTATATGTACTGGTCACAGAGATTCCCAGGTACTTAAAAGATATATTACTAATTTGAAATGGAAATTTACTGAGGTCTGACTGTTTTGCTATCTTATTAATTGGAAATAATATACTTTTACTGAAATTAATTTTATATCCTGAAACTGCCCCAAAGCTATTTATAAGCTCTATTGTTTTGGGTATGGAACTATCAGGATTGGATATGTATATAATGAGATCATCTGCGTACAGTGAAACCTTGTGAGTCTTCCCACTCCTGTTAATGCCCAGCAAGTCTGACTCTCTCCTTAAAGCTATAGCTAGTGGCTCTATTGCTATATTAAATAGGAGAGGAGACAGGGGACAGCCCTGTCTGGTGCCTCTATATAAAGGAAAAAAGTTTGATATTACCTTGTTAGTTCTTATACAAGCAGTTGGATGCGAATATAGTATACTAATCCAAGTGCAAAAACCAGGACCAAAGCCAAAATTTTTCAGAGCTGTGAATAGATATTCATACTCAATACGGTCAAAGGCTTTATGAGCATCTAATGACAATAGCACTTCTGGCAAATGTGAACTGCTTTGTGAGTAAAGTATATTAAATAGCCTCCGTAAGTTGCTTGAAAGCTGCCGTCGTGCTATGAATCCTGTTTGATCTTGATGAATAAGTGTTTGTATGACTGGATTAAGCCTTGCTGCCAAAATCTTTGCTAATATCTTGTAATCATTTGAAAGTAAACTTATAGGTCGATATGAGTCACACTTCAAGGGATCCTTACCTTTTTTGTGTATAACAGTGATAATAGCTTGCGACATAGTTGGTGGTAAAGATTTCTGCTCAGTTATTTCTATAAACACCTTTTTTAATATTGGGGATAATTTGTGTGAAAATTTTTTATAAAATTCAATTATAAATCCATCAGGGCCAGGTGCTTTTCCGCTTTTTATTTGTTTGATAGCTTGTTCAATTTCTTTTATAGATATGGGTTGTTCAAGATTATACTTGTCTTGATCACTGATATTGGGCATTTCTATTGTATTAAAAAAATGGGATATATTCGCTTTATTATTTGTCTCAGATGTATATAACTTTTCATAGAATTTTTTATACTGCTTGTTAATGTCCATTTGATCTGTAGTTACTCCTTGCCTCGTTTGAATTTCGGCTAATACTTTTTAAAATGAAGTAATTAATCACTGTTTTATTAATGTCACTTTTATAACTTTAGATTTACTACTCCGTTTAGATGTATTGCTTATTTAAATTTTATTTTAATTTATTCATAAAAATAATTATTGGCATATCGCTTTTTTGTACATAATGTAAAATAATGCTAGATTAGATTAGATTAGAATGTCTTTATTGTCCCCAAAGGGCAATTAGATTTACAGTAATAGCTGACAGTTGACGGCAACAAGTCACACTCAACAACATTAAATAACAGTAAAAAATACTATCATGAAGAGAAATAAAAAAATAAAATAAAAAAAAAAACTTAAGTTTTAGTAACCCAACTGCAGCTGGAACAAATGAGTATACTATCTGTTGGACCTTGCCCCTGTCTAGAATAAGTATACCTTCTGCCTGATTGCAGGAGGCAAAACTTTGAAAAAAAAAGTGGGTGGTTCTTATCTGCTTAAATGGACATATCCTTTTTATGACTCTCACCTCATAGACTTGTCCAATACTATTAAGATGTGTGCCCAAGATCTTTTGAGATTAAACAATTTTTGAAAGTCTGTGCTTTGCTGGACTTTTTAAAGCTTTGCTGGATTTTTTAAAGCACTGAATCTGCATGTTTCTTGCATATTACAGTTGAATCAATGAATGTAACTGCAACAATTAAATGTATGACAAAGTGGAAAAAACATCCATTCATTCATTTTCCTTTGGCTTATTCGCTTATTTGTCAGGGGACGCCACGGCGGAATGAACTGTACTGTTTTACGCAGCGGAAGCCTTTCCAGCCGCAACCCATTACTGGGAAACACCCATAAACTCTCACATTCATACATACTCATACACTAGGGCCAAGTTAGTTTATTCAGTTCACTTATAGTGCATGTCTTTGGACTGTGGAGGAAACTGGAGCACCTAGAGGAAACCCACGACAACACGGGGAGAACATGCAAACTCCACACAGAAATGTTAACTGACCCAGCCGGCACTCGAACCAGCAACCTTTTTGCTGTGAGGTGACAGTGCTAACCACTGTGCCATCGTGCCGCCCAGGGAAAACAAAATCAAATATAAACTAATAATAATTTTATTCTATTTTTGTAATTACTGGTTCTCAAACACTAACACGAGTAGCTATTCTTTCCTTGCCTTTTGTTCTTCAATGCCGTATTTTCTCCCCTAAAATTATGTAAACAAAGTGCATTAAAATTGTCATGTAAATCATGTTGATAAAATCTGAGAAAATATTCAAGTTAAACAAAAAGCTACATTTTTATAATAATAATACATTTAAAATGGGCTTTTTATAAACTCAAAGCACTACAAGTATACAAAACAAAATAAGAATACAACCAAATACAAAATAACACACTTGGATAATAAAAATTACTGTAATAAGTCTAATTATATTGTGTTCTGGCATTTCTGAAAGTTAAAGCATGTAAAATTAAGCTTGTTTGAAACATTTGCTTTCCTCTACTTCCATAGAGTAAATTTATTGTATTTTATTTTGAGCCTTAGCCTCAATCATTTTGTTTTATTTGTGATTCAGAGCTAGTGATCTGGTGATGAAGGTGGATGCCCTGCTGTCTTCACAGCCGAAAGGGGAAGCAAGGATCGAGCACACTTTTGCTGAAGACAGATACAGGTACGTCACTTATTTTCACGCAAGGAAATTGCTAAATGCTCAGAATTCATTAACTAACCTTTTCCCCTCCATTCGACTTCACAGCGCTGTGAAAATCAGACCAAAGGAAGAGGAAGTGTACTTCGATGTTGTAGCTGTTTTAGATCCAGTGACCAGAGATGCTCAGAAACTAGCACCTCTACTCCTGGTGAGAGCTTCAGCACGGCTTCAATTTACATGATGTGACTAAACAATAAAATTAATTAAATTAAATTAGATTTTTCACTCAGATATTTAATAAGTTATTTAAATTCAATTAATCTTTATTTCTTAAGCACTTTTACAATGTAGACTGTGTCAAAGCAGCTAAACATAGAAGTTGTAGTAAATTGAAATTGAAACTGTGTCAGTCCAGTTAATTGTACTTTATTAGTAGGCATTCACTGAAAAGAAAGTTCTGGCCCATAAAGTGAAACCAAAAATGCTTTAATTATTTTTATTTTTGTTATTGAACTAAATAATATTGTAAGACTGTTTAAATTGAACTCATTAACTTGGATTATAAAACAATATTATAAAAACAAGCCAATACAACAACCACATTTTATTGACCATGAACGAGTGAAGAGGTGTCCGTTTACCGGTTTTGACAAGATGGCACTAAAGTCGTATTGCAGGTGTGACCAACCCTGTTCCTGGAGATTGACCTCCCTGCAGATTTCAGTTGCAACCTATATCAAATACATCTGCCTGTAATTATCAAGTGCTGTTCAGGTCCTAATTAATTGGTTCAGGTGTGTTTGATCAGGGTTGGAGCTGAACTTTGCAGGAAGGTCGATGTCCAGGAACAGGGTTGAGCATGGCTGCCCTATTGCAAGCTGCTAGAACAAGCACACTACATTGTCCTCTCAGCACACGAGTGCACTTTGGTTTTCCAGTGAGCATGTGTAGTTCGTGCATTGGTAAGTATACTGATTCATGAGCAGAATATCCACATAGCACAATGTTTAGCTAATTTTAGCTTTAACCATATTGCACATGATCTGCTGCTCTTGTGCTTTGGTCAGTGCAGCAACAAACCAACCTTTGCATGGTGCAATAAAATGAATGGCTTTCATAGCACAGAGTTTTCTGCGTCCACCCTGAAAAGCCATTTTTGGCTCATATTTTTGAACCTATACTGGTCTCATGGTTCGGTTACAATTATTATGGCATCAGTTCGGTTAAATCTGATATTTCAGTGCATCACAGTGCATTGACGATGCTTTTCCATACACAATTTTATATTTTACTTAGCAACTCAATAATTCTTGTATTAAAATGTATAATTTATAAAAACTCTCTGATCTATAAAAACACTCTTTTTGAATGTATCAAACAAAACTAAAGTACATGAACAGAACAACATGAGAATTTATAGCAAATAAACAAATGTAAATATTATACCGCTTGCTTTTAGAGCATTGTTTAGCAAGTTCTCAAACGCTTATGATTGGTCACTCTGCGGCGATCAGCTGATCCATTACAGACTGCGATGTGGTGGAGAAGTGCTCTTTGCAGACATGCTCATGTCTGGATCTACAAGTATTGTTATTGTTGTAACAGCCGAGGGAGAAGATAACACCTTATGTCATGAACACACCAGCAGGTCAGAGGGGCCACAGAGTGTGAGAGAGAGAGAGAGTTTACAGCTTTAATTTTTTCCTAGCTGAGTTCTGATCTACTTTTCTGTCAGTGAAAGACTGTCCAGCAAATTCACATGCAGTGAATTGTGCACAGTTATCTGCTTTTAAAGTAGTTTGACTGTTTTTATTACTTGTGGTCTCCTCCCACCATAGTAAGCTACCACCATATAACACATATGTGATAAATGATGTCAGTATATGATAACCAATTATGATTATTACTGAAATGATACTGATTTTTTGCATCTGAATCGAAAAAAGAATTAATTTTGACACCCCTATTAGTTAATGTATTATTTATCATTAATAATGAACAATACTTTTACAACATTAATTATAGTTCATCGCATAGTTCATCAGTGCATTAATAAAATTCTAAATTGTTCTTGTTAAAGGGATATTTCTTCTGTTGAACACAAAAGATGATATTTTGATCAGTGTGGGAACCTGTAATCATTGACGTCCATAATATTTGTTTTTCCTACTATGAATGTCAGTGGTTACAGGTTTCCAACATTCTTCCAAACATCATCTTAACAGAACAAGTGTCAAACAACAAGTCAAGGGTTGGTAAATGATCATAGGACTTTTGTTTTTGTGTGAACTATCAATTCAGAGGATATTTTTTGTGTGTGTGTGTGGGTGTTCAGTCATACCAGTGGGCTGCCAGTACAGTATGTCTGTTGGTACATCTTGGTTGGTGGTACTCTTGTTAAAGAGATAGTTCACCCAAAAATGAAAATGTACTTATCCTTAAGGGGTTCTAAACTTTTTTTTTCTGTTAAGAGGTTATTATCTTGAAACATGTCAGAAACCCTGTAGCCATTGCCATTTACTGTAGGCAAACCAATGAAGTTATTTAGAAAGTTGTTCGAAGCCCATTAGCCATTGACATCTAAAGTAGGGATGGAATTAATATTTTGTTGAATGTGGGAAACCTGTAACCAACCTGTAAACCTGTAATCTGACGTCCATAATATTTGTTTGTCCTACTATGAATGTCAGTGGTTACAGGTTTCCAACATTCTTTAGAACATCTTCTTAACAGAACAAGTGTCAAAGGGTCAAAAGTCAAAGGTTAGTAAATGATCATAGAATTTTTTGTTTTTGAATGAACTATCCCTTAAATGTGAGTTAAGAACTAACAATGAACAACTATATTTTTTATTACCTAGTGTTAAGGAAGATTAATAAAGACTAATGGGTAACACTTTACAATAAGGTTCATTAGGTAATGCATTTACTAACATGAACTAATCATGAACAACACTTGTACAGCATTTATTAATGATAATTGAACATTTACTAATGCATTATTAACATCCAAGTCCATGCTTGTTAACATTAGTAAATGCACCATGAGTTAACATGAACTAACAATGAACTACTGTATTTTCATCAACTAACGTTAACTAACATGAACAAACACAGTAATAGATGTATAGTTCATTGTTTGTTCATGTTAGTAAATGCATTAATTAACATTAACTAATGAACCTTATTGTAAAGTGTGACCGACTAATGCATTGTTCATTCTTTGTTCATGTTAATAAATACATTAACAAATGTAACCTTATTTTAAAATCTCACTTTATTTCAGTTAAATTATATTTATGTATTTATGATGATTAAGCCCTTATAAATTAAAACATTTGAGAAAGCTAATTACATTTTTTAACAAAATGTTTCGAGTAAGATGAACTTACATTTTGTACATTTACATGTGTAACCATCTGTTGATTTACAGATGCTACCAGCTGTACAGAGTTGTACAGGTCCATGCTAACCAGCCAAATTTTGACCTCCTAGCCATGTCAAGCTATTATTATTATTCCATAGGAATGTTGACCAAATGATGTTGCTTCATGATCTTGTCTTGCTTGTTCTATATGTGTGTGTGTTATATACAACATAGGACATCTGGTCCCTATCTGACATTTCACAGGTACAGTCAGTCAGTCTGCATTGGTTGGCTCTGTCTCTGAGAGCAGCTGTCGGTGAGAGCAGGTTCATTTGGGTGGTTGTACCTTGACTCGTGTCACTTCCTGTTTGTGCCCACTCAGGTATTGAAGCAGCTGGTGAACGTCAACCTGCGAGTGTTCATGAACTGCCAGTCCAAGCTCTCTGACCTCCCGCTGAAAAGGTTAGAAGAGAGAAACTCTGTGACAGCACATGCTCCATCATACAGTTACAAAAAAAATAAATAAATAGACCACTCGGAAGTTTCTCTGGATCATAAGAATTTTAGTTATGGTTTAGAGAAAAAATTCATTTTAAATTCTGTTAACTATTGATGACATAATGCCAATTTAAAATTTAAAAAAAGATAATTTAGGGTGAGTGTTGCATGAGATAATAATAAAGTAGCCATGTTTTTCTTGTTTATGTTTATTTTTAGACAACATAATACCTATGTTTATTTTAAAAAGACATAATAATTCACTCTAAAGCACAATGTCAACTTGCTTTTACTGTTTTGCTTTAACATTATTATGTTCTATGTTTCCAATAAAACCATGATTTTTTTTTTTCTCTTTAGTTTTTATCGATATGTTTTGGAGCCAGAGATTGTGTTTCTGACCGATAGTAGCTTTGCTCCTGGTCCGATGGCTAAGTTCTTAGATATGCCTCAGTCGCCTTTGTTCACTCTGAACCTGAACACCCCAGAAAGCTGGATGGTTGAGTCTGTCCACACACGTTACGATCTGGATAACATATACCTTGAAGAGGTAAGAGTTCTCCTTACTCTCATAGACTGTAATAAGACGAAGTGCTTTCTTCTAGTGATTTTAAGGAAATAAGCCTTGTGTATAAAAATGTTATTTTATTTATTTATTTTCATTTTTTGCCATTTTTTTAAATGTGTTTTAACCTCTTAAATGTCACTATCCTGATAGCAGGACATTTAAGTTAACTTCTATATTGCATTTAAATATGAATTAATCATGGCAACCTATAAATTGTTGGAAAGGTCAAAGTCTTCTGAACATATTTTAATGGTGTTTTTAGTTTTTATATATATATATATATATATATAGGAAGAGTAAGATATTAAAATCTTTGTTTTGTCACCCTTCAACCTGTTGGACCATTTATGGTTATGATTTTACACCCTTCCAGTCTAAACTTATGTAGGACCAGGCGTGCCAGTTAGAAATAAAATGAAGAATCAAATGATTAATTTAATAATTGAATAATTAAAATGTGTATAAATAAATCACAATTAAAATGGACAAATAAATAGACATATTTAAATGTTTATTTAAATTGTGTTTTAAAATGTCATTTTATAAAGCAATTAATCAATGCATTTAAAAATAACTTTTGAATGTATAAATAAACAATTTTTTTAATGTTTATTTTATTCATGTTTTAAAACGCTGATTAATCAAACAATAAAAACATATATTTATAAATCATTTAAAATGTATTAAAATGCATAATTTAAATAGCTTTTTAAAAAGGCAAGTTATTTTACTGTCTATTTGCCCCTTGCTTCTCTTTTCCTTTTGCTACATAAGTTTCTTGAGTTGAAATTAAATCTAGTTAAAAAAAAACATTGGACAGTCCACACGTGGGAGCAACCAATCATCTTTCAACTCAAGTCAAGCTAAACCTACTTTCGCCTGTGAATGAAATGCGCACTGTCATTGGACAGATACAAAGCTAAAGCTCATTTTAGCAAGGTTTAAAAAACAGCAAAGCGACTCAAATGTCAGGGATTTTTTTAGCTTTAGCTGATATCTGTTAAAGAATTCTCTTCTGGATTATCACTGTCTGTATAGAAAAGTTTTACAGATGAGGGATGACATTACTGTGGTCAGACGAGCTAAGTCAAAAGCACCCAGTCATTCTAGCCAACGTAAATTTTTTTGTGGTCGCCCATAAACTGCATATTACGGTACAGCACCAAAGAACTGGTCTAAACAAATACCAATACCGCAAACGCATTTTGTTATTATATATCACAGTGCCACACTGATTGATGATGAAATATTCACTCCTATTCATTAATTTCTTTCACGGTGCATCGTGGGATAGCTTAGCGTACATCAGATGCGCACTTTAGAATTTCACCAAAATTAGCAGATCATCTAGGTACTTCTCGCATACTGTTTTTCAGTTTCTATGAATTCAGACATATTACTCCGCTCGCATACCGTTTTTGCCGTACTATATAGTAAGGAAGTATGCATTTTCGGATGCAGCCTTAGTGTTTAAATCAGAAAAAAGTTCTTGTTTTTTACCCAGACATTTAAAAATAATGTATTTTAGAGCAGAAATCACAATACTGTGATTTATTTATTTTTTCCCAAAGTTATCGTACTGTTTGAATCATAAAGAAAAAAATAAAATAAAATTTTATATATATATATATATATTAGTTGAAAGCTTAAAATTTCTTAAATAACGCTGTTTTTTTATTTTCTACTCTATCGGACAAAAAAATCCTTACAAAATGTATTACGATTTTCACAAAAACATTAGTATCAGTAATAATAATAATAATAATATTCAGTAATAAGAGGTGTTAAGCATCAAATCGGCATGTTTTAAATACAATTAAATACAATTCAATGGAATATTAGGACATGTTGAAATAGAAAGTGTGGCGAGGCAGTGGCGCAGTTGGTAGTGCTGTCGCCTCACAGCAAGAAGGTCGCTGGGTAGCTGGTTCGAAACTCGGCTCGGTTGGCGTTTCTGTGTGGAGTTTACATGTTCTCCCTGCCTTCACGTGGGTTTCCTCCGGGTGCTCCGGTTTCCGCCACAGTCCAAAGACATGCGGTACAGGTGAATTGGGTTGGCTAAATTGTCCGTAGAGTGTGTGTGTGGATGTTTCCCAGAGATAGGTTGCGGCTGGAAGGGCATCCGCTGCGTAAAAACTTGCTGGATAAGTTGGCGGTTCATTCCGCTGTGGCGACCCCAGATTAATAAAGGGACTAAGCCGACAAGAAAATGAATGAATCAAATAGAAAGTGAGTTTAATACTCCAATTCATAATAATTTGTAATATTTTACAATATTACAGTTTTTTCAGTATGTTTAATAAATAAAATAAACTTTGGTGAACATCTTGTTTCAAAAGGATTTGAAAAAACTTGCAAAGCCCAAAATAAGAAAAAAGCGGTATTGAATGGATACAGTATGTGTACTCTATGTCAGTTTATCATTCTTGAAGTTGTGTTGTAATTAACCAATATATACGTAGCACAATCACCTCACAGCAAGAAGGCTGGTTCAAGCCTTGGCTGGGCCAGTTGGCATTTCTGTGTGCATGTTCTCCCCGTGTTCACGTGAGTTTCCTCTGGGTGCTCTGGTTTCCCCCACAAGTTCAAAGACATGTGTTATAGGTGAATTGGGTAGGCTAAATTGTCTTTCAAGAGTTCACACTTATATAATGCTTGACTATGATAGCAGGTTTGGCATGCTGTCCCGGGAGAGAACCCTGAGCTCGGAGATAGATGAGCCCAAGGTTCCCGCCTTGTCAATGAGCATTAGGAGGGATACAAGATCAAATAATTGTTCCCCAGATTTTTATTTTTTTTTATACTTTGGTTAATACGGTGGTTCTAATTGATTTAGTATTTAGGCCTTAAGTGCTTGTGACTGTTATTATAATTCGCTTATGTACATGTTTTTAGACTTTGGAAGGAACATAGAATTGAGGAAGTTGGAGAAGGGAAAGATGGACATTTTATCTCAAAAACGGAGATAGAGGGTGATGTTTAGGCCTTGTTTATAGTAGTTTTGCAATGATCTGATAGGCTAGCTAATGATTAGCGATAAGGATTCGCTGTAGTTGATCATATCACATACTCCTTTAAAAATTAGTTGTAAAACTTCAGTGCATGTGTGTAAATCGGAGTGTATGGGTGTTTGCCAGTAATGGGTTGCGGCTGGAAGGGCATCCGCTGCGTAAAACATATGATGGATAAGTTGGCGGTCATTCCACTGTGGCAACCCCAGATTAATAAAGGAATTAAGCCAGGAAGTAAATGATGATATATTTGTGGTTATTAAAAATGTATAATAAAAAAACAAATGATTCTACAAAATTCATATTTTCTGTGCAGGTGGACAGTGTCGTGGCCGCCGAGTATGAGTTGGAGTATTTATTACTGGAGGGTCACTGTTTTGACGTGACCACAGGTCAGCCTCCCCGTGGTCTGCAGTTCACTCTGGGCACTGCCTCCGACCCTGTCATAGTGGACACCATCGTCATGGCCAACCTGGTGAAAAGTCATCATCATTATTCATCTATGAAATAATCACTAAGTCTCTTATTAAAGGTCATCTTACTCTGATCCGGCTTTAACAGGGTTATTTCCAGCTGAAAGCAAACCCAGGAGCCTGGATGCTCAGGCTGAGGAAAGGCAGGTCGGATGATATCTACAAAATCTACAGGTACCCTATTACAGCCTGTCAGACGCCTGTCTCTCTTAATGTCCTTCTGTCTCTTGGCTTTATTGGTCGTTTGACTTTTTTTAAATTCCCCTCTCGCAGTCACGATGGCACAGACTCTCCAGCCGAAGCTGATGATTTAATCGTCGTCCTTAACAACTTCAAGAGCAAGATCATTAAAGTGAAAGTAAGTAATGGAGGGCTGAATCGGGTGACGGGGTGAGGTCACATATAAGGGCTCTCTGTCTGTTCAGATTGAGGGTATCAGCTTTTAATCTGACGTCACAGTTTCAAGGTCCAAACACTTTATCAGATGCCAAATAGCAAATGCTACTAATAGAATCACAGTGTGATTTAATATTATGATCATAATGTTTATTATTCATGGCCAATCTCAGATGGTAGACAATGGTTCATCTTTTATAAATCATTCAAATATTGGTGTCTGGGACCCAGCAAGCCCAGAGATTTGTAGTGAACACCACAATGATTGCATTTTGTATTAAATAACGATAGGTTTTTTTTTTTAACTAGCTTAACTCACTCCTTATAAAGCGGCTTTTACACAGTCAACATTTTGTAAAGCACTATAGAAGTTTTGAAGACTGACCTGACACTATGATTTTGTAAAATATTTGCTTTAATGTGTGATATTACTAAACAATGGTCTTAAATGGCTATTTTGGACTACATTTTATGGGAAAATTATGCTTTAAACGCACAGCAAGCTGGACAAAACCAATTCAATTTTGTGAAGCGTATAGTTTACATAAAGGGATACTTATCGTTATTTTTTTAAATGTCTTGTAGGGGTGTCACGATTTCTATTTTTAATCAAAATCGATCGAAATTTATGCTAAATTTCGATTATCGAATCAAAAAATAGAATCATCGATGCTGCCACGCCCCCATGTCACGTCAGCTTGGCTTGCCAAGCGGGAAAAAAAAGGCTTGTTGAAGTGCTTGTTAAACTGCAGAAGCAGGAGATCCGTCAACAGAACTTAAACCCTCTCCTCTTTCAATGAAGTCGCCGGTGTTTAAGCATTTTGGATTTCCAGTTAGTTATGTTGACGACGTTCGTGTTGTCGACAAAAAAAGACACAGTTTTGCAAGCTCTGCTATGTACGTATTATGTACGGTTCGTCCGATAGACAACACCAGCATCGCGATCCTCCGCCCGCCCCCGTTGCAAATCCGCTCGTGAAAAGTACACACTCAGGCCCTGTTTACACTGTCTTTGTTTTTAAATGGCATTCTAGAACGACAACAATTTGACATCCACAGTGGCGTGTAGCATTTCTGAGCAGCCCTCCTTCCTCTCTGCCTCTGAAAATGCACATCACGTGAGAACACAGACACAGACGCACATACAGCCTTGCGCTCGAGACAGCAGGTCCTGGCAGTCAGAGGACTGCTTCAATCTTTCACTCACTTGTACTTAGTCATATTAGCGAACACCTCAGATACTGTTGGCTGGTTCCTGTTGGTTGTGCGTTTTTACCGACGCCATTATAACGACACAGATCACTGCCTATTCACGAGTCCCGCAGAAAAAGTGATTGACAGGTGGTAATTATGTGTGTATCTTGCCTTGCCATGCAGGTCAGGTTGTTTAAACGGTAGGCTACAAATAATTAATTGGTCATTAATTAATTAATTATTCATAATCGAAATTCGAATCGAATCGTGCCTTTAGAATCGAAAATGTAATCGAATCGAGGATTTGGAGGATCGTGACACCCTTAATGTCTTGATATTATGGTAACATCTTAAAATCAACAGACACACAAGTATATTGACTAAAGCCCATGTTTTTTGCTAAAGATATAGATTTTCACAGTTATTAACATATATTCCCAGATTCTTGAAGAATATATTATGTCTGTTATATATATTAAGAATATATATTATGTCTGTTGGTTCATCAGTCCTCAGTCTCAGGCCTTTATTAAAGGGATAGTTCACCCAAAAATGAAATGCGAAAAGGATTTTGCATCGATTCTGAGATTTCTAAATTGCATCGCTATTCTCACTTGCATTCAGCAAGTCCTGATAGTTGGCTTTTATGTCAAGAGATTAATGTGAACGCAGTTTACTATGAAGTGTCTTGTGATTGGTGTAAACCTTTCCTAACATTATTATTGATTATTTTAGGTTCAATTAACATTTGTAAGGAATTGAATATAAGCAGAGTATGGCTTTTTGTGATGCACACAGCGTTATCTGTTGGTGAAAACTGAGCTCAGAATAGATTCAAGAGAGAAAAAGATATGCATTTAGAAAAATTCAGAAACTGAATCGATTTTTAAATGATTTTCTTTTGCCACAGCTTTACAATATAAAACATACATTGCAGCACACTGTAGATAATCAGAGATCAGCTATAAAGACAAAAAAAGTCTGATTAGACATATGCCGATATTAAATATATTGTGTTAATGAACATGTAGAATATTTATATTGTGGGCACTTTTTAAATTACTGTGACAAATTATTTATGATTTAAATGTAAAGTGCTTTTTTGAATATTCATGTTGTATTTGCAGTGGTGATTGCGCCGAATGCTTAGAGACTTAATAAGCTATTTATTATCAAACATTAAAATTTTCGCAAAAATCTAGCCAACGCCATTGCAAATTCTGTAACTATTTGTACCTTAGTTTGTCAACTTTCTAAGGTTCCATTTAGCATTGGTTAATTTAACTAAAATAAATGTGATGACAATTACAAAAGCATTTATTAGGTGATGTTAATGTTAATAGCATGTTAAAATATAAAGTCGTAATTGTTTTATTAAAGTTTTTTTTTAATTTTTAAATAAGGGGCTGCACAATTTTAAGCTTCTAACACCCGCTTATAACACAGAAGAAAAGGAGGAGAGGAAGTTCACTTGCTTGTTGTTAAAGTTACTGGTGACTCAAACAAGCATGGATGGTTCAAGCAGCAGCTCCAACTCTAGCGATGAAGAAATTATTATTGTTCACAAGAGCAATAAGCAGCTCCACGTTCATCTTGCCTCTGGGCATCTTCTTCAGTGTGCGTTCCTATTGAAAGTTTTGCGCTTGAGCGCCTCCAAATGCAGTTTATAAAAAATAAAAATATGCATATAATAATTATTACTGCCGATGAAAAATAACATTATACAAAAGCAAATTTTCATGAATAAACTGAAAAAGCCCCCTGAGATAAAGAAGGCATGGAGGCAGTGGTTTTTATATTTATGTAGGCTGGAAAATAATTTTTTTTGTAATATTTTAATCCTTTAATTCTTTTTCATTTGTAAAGATATTTGCATATTGCTGTACATCCTGCGTGTATTTAAGCAATGTGTAAGCAAGGCGGCAACTAACGCGCTCTGCGCTGGACTTTAGACCTGCTCTTAGCTGGTCTATTGTGCACTCTATTTTAGTTCCTCAAATAGCAACGCGCCAGCAATGTGCCTTAACACACCTCTCTTTTTTAGACCAGAACGCCTATGGGCGCACTTATGAGCACAAATGCATTTGCTATTTAAACAGCGTGCTGCAACACGTCAAAATGACACTTGCGTCGAGCTGAAACTTGCAAAAAACATTTGCATTGCGCCTTGCGCTGCATTGTGCCGGGTGTATGATAGGGCCCCAAGTCTGATTACCAATCGCAAGTAAAAAAAAAAAAAAAGAAAAAAAAAGCTGAATCTGATTTCTGGCCTGTCGACTGGTGGATCTTTTTTATATTCTGTACATCACAAATGCATTAACAAATGGATTATTGGAGATGAACATGTTTCAGGAGAGTATGTGAGATATTCCTTCCATTTCTGCTCGACCTGAGAGATGGAGAGAGCGAGAGAGTGTCTTCAGTTTACTGCCATATACTCTTAATATCTGACAAGCTGTCACATGTCAGCCGGTGTGTGGGTGTGTGTCCAATGCGAGGTCTGCTGCTTCCTGTGGGGCTGTGGGTGGATTAAGAGTGTGGACTGGGATGAGTGTGTGTTTATATATATATCTGAATTTTTGACACGTCGTGGCTCTAAGTATACAGCATTGGCCGTAGGGAAAGGGTTTGTTTATGTAGCAGTACTTGTCTCGGGGTTTGGATTATTGTTTCCAAATCAGAAGTTGGCAGTCATGTTCAGTTTATTTCAAAATTAACCTCACCTGCCAGTGGCTGGTACATTGAGAAATAAATGTTGTTTCTCAAATCTTCTTTTTTAGTTTAGATACAGCATTTTGCATTGGATTTAAATTGTGTTTGTCCTTATTTGTTTCTGTTTTCTGGCCCCCTAACTGAACATACTTTATAACATATGAAATATAATATATTGCTAATGTACACTGAAGACCATATCGGGTGCCACTCCAGTAAGCTAAGAACCGGAAAATGCGGCTAAAATTCGCACAGGCTCACCAAAATTGAACAATTTCAATAACAGCAATTGTAAACATTTGTTATTCTGACTAAAAAGGTTTGTACTCAAATTTTATAATTATGAAATTGTACTCTGACATAAAACCAATACATTTAGAGAAACTAAGCATTTAAATTGTCTCTTATTTTTTTTACTCATAGCTGTTAAAAAAAAAAATATATATATATATATATATATATATATATATATATATATATATATATATATGTATGTAATATTTCAATTTACTTTATGTAAATAAAATGATATACTGATTAATTTTGCAAACGGTCTCTTAACCATATCTTCATCAAAGCTTCAGTTCCAATATTTCACCCTCTTTGTTAACTATCATCAAGACACACACACACACACACACACACACACACACACACACACACACACACACACATTCAACATTACTTCTGTGTTATTTAATGCATGTGTTCTTTTGCTCCATATCATGTTTGCAGGTGCAGAAAAAGCCTGATATGATAAATGAGGAGCTTCTCAGTGATGGTACCCATGAGAACGAGTCTGGATTCTGGACATCTATAGCCAGGTATAAATTGTGGGGTACAGTTCTTCTGCCTGTTCAACTCTACGGTGTCTCTGACTTAAAATGCTTATTGTTCAAATATGATTTTTGTCATGTCTTTCTTTTAGAGGATTCACTGGTGGTTCAAACCCAGAAGAACCCAAACAGGAAAAAGACGATGTTATCAACATTTTCTCTGTGGCCTCTGGTCATTTATACGAGCGGTTCCTCAGGTAAACAATTGCATACTGTTTAAAAGTCTACAGTGTAAATGGCGAATTTTTTTTTTTTTTTTTTTTTTTTTTTTTTTTGGATTACCTTAATCCAACTGAAGTCATGAAGTCGAACTAAACAGAAACCAAATGATAACATGTGGAGTATTCCTATTTCAGTCGCATTATTGAAGTGCAATAAAGACACCTTAATCAAATTTTTAGTAATTTTTGTTACATTTTGCAACAGGACACAACGCACAAATGACAGCTGTCCAGCATTTAACAACAAACAAATGAGAATGGGTTTAAGGCAAGAAAGCACATTTTTTGGTGTGAACAGGAAGTGATGACTATGCTGACAATTCTGAAAGAATTGTACAGTGCCTTGACTTTGAAGTGACTGTTGTGGGAGTATGCAACTGCGGGAAGGCTGGGCCAGACCATACACTGTGCTCGACACAGAAGTGTAGACAAAGCATGGTGACGTGATTCCACACGCAGTAGGGAAAGTAATTGAAAAAAAATGACCCGGAAAAATTTTATTGATTATAGGCTGAATGTCGATTAATTTTCGATTAATCTCCCAGCCCCATTTGCATGTATACTGTGAGAAATTAACTGCAATTGAACTTGTTGCAAGATTAAAACGAAATGCCCAAAATCACATATGGTGCCATGGCGAACACAAACTGTTGATGTGTGAAATGTCAAAGGAAACTAGCGTGGAATGGTGACGGAAAGAAGTTATCCGAGCTATGCACTATAACATGTAAAATGCGAACATGAATGGAACATTCAAAAAGCAACTCATGTAAACTTATTAATCATATTATTGTCTTATTCAGATATAGGCAAATATTTAGATTACTGGTGTCCATGTAAATATAAGCATTGAATCATTCATTGTAGTGTTTTATTCTTGAATTGATCATAAATCAGTGTTACTGAACTTTGTCATTAACTTATAGGTAGACAAACAAAATATCCAGAATATATATATATATATATATATATATATGTATGTATATATATATATGTGTGTGTATATATATATATATATATATATATATATATATATATATATATATATATATATATATATATATATATATATATATATATGTGTGTGTGTGTGTGTGTGTGTGTATATATTTATTTTTTATTTTTTGTCAAATTAATTACATTGTAACTAGGGCTGAACAATATACTGTTTTAGCATTGATACCACAATGTGCGAATCTGAAATAGTCACATTGCAGGATCTGCAATGTCGAGTTTGGATTGCAATTAACCAAAATTCATCACTTAAAGTAGGAATGACTTTTTTAAGGTCTGCGATTGTTTACAATTTCAAGTGAATTTAAACCATTTGGGTACTAGAAATGATAACATTTGTAAACAAAGAATTAACAAAGATTAATTGTATTTAATTATTTCTATAATGAAGACCATATTAGTCAACATTTAAGAATCAAAATTGTCTTAAAACAAGAATGTGTTTTGTTGAATAGTTTAGGAGGACAGCTTTAGATATGATCCACATCAAATGTTGACTACTGCATAGTCATTTTGTCATTTGATTATTATTTGCACTGTTTGTTTTATTTGTATCTTTCTTCTATTTTCTTCATTTTTGTTTGTAATTGTTAAATTTTATTTTGTGCAGATTAACTCCCCTACGAAATCATCACAGTCAATGAAAAAATAATTAATTCTTTTCAAATAGAATTATAAGTTATTTTGTAAAATTACATTCATATCGCTAAATATATTGCGGAAAAGCAAAATATCGCAGTGTCATTTTTTTCCAACATCGTGCAGCCCCAATTGTAACGGGCATTATCGTGTGGTGAATGCCATCTGCAATATCATATGTTTTTGTTTTGCATTAAATTAAAGTATAAGACGTGCACAATTTCATCTCTGCAATAAGAACAATATAATATATAATAATACTTCAGACCAAAATAACACACCCGTTACATAAACTTGATATTACATATTTTACATTGTTACAGTATGCATTCATGTTCAATATACATTGAGTAAATGATTACAGAATACTTGTTATTGGGTTGTTTACCCCCCTTTTTAGTTAGCTTTTTTTACCACTTTAAAAACAATTAATGCCCATGAAAACATTCAAATCCATAGTTATTAAAGTCTGAATCATAGTGTTTATTATATGCACCATGTATTTTTGCTTATCAGATGTTTATTAAGATATCCATTAGTGTTTTAGATGTTTATTTAGACACACTTGAAAAAAATGTTAGCATATAATACCTCATGTTCTTCAGAAATCATGACATTTCTGCTGTGACAAAGATATGACTTTAATATCCTTCAAATGCTCCAGAAGTTGCTATAGCTTTGACATGTAATACAGTCAAACCCTCATGAGTGTCTTTATGCTATATTGAAAAAAAATGACACACACATCTAATTCCACATATTAAGAAAATGCAATAGCTTTATGTGATTTGTCTGGCTTGAGTCAGATTGTGACATTTTCCTCCTCATATATAGAAAGTTTGTTTTGGCCTGAAATGGCCTGATTTTCTGGATGCTGATCTCTAGAGTCGCTGTGTCTTATTAGCGGCAGTGTCATTGGTTGTGTAATGCAGCTCCGATTAGAAGGTCACTGGCATAACTTACCTGCTGGTTGTCACTGCAGGCACACAGTGTTGAGCTTTGCCCTCTCTCTCTCCATCTCTGCAGGATAATGATGCTGTCTGTGCTCAAACACACCAAGACACCCGTCAAGTTCTGGTTCCTCAAAAACTACCTGTCGCCAACTTTTAAGGTAGTGCATTCAACAGAGCCTTTCAGATAGGTCTTATTAAATTCACAGCAAATATACGTGATCTTGTATACGGAATATAATTATTTGTATAGGTCAGTGGTCTCAAACTCAATTCATGGAGGGCCACAGCCCTGCACAGTTTAGTTCCAGCCCTGCTTGAACACTGAAGCTGCGGTCACACTGGACTTTTCTCCCTATAGACATCCATTCATATGCATGCGAATGAGTCAGACTGGAAAAGCAAGCTCGTGTGTCAAGTTTCACAATTCGCTGCGTTGGAAAGTTCAAGCTTGTTGAACTCTGACCTGCAAAATCACATCACTTGACTGCGTGAGACCAATCAAAGATCAAAACATGACCTCTCTGGACATAAATGTAAAATTTATGGACCAATCGCTCGCTTTTATAAATGTTCAACCATCTTGTTTAATCCCTCCCCTTTTCAAAGCGCCGTACTGCAAAATTTTGCAAACTCAAACTCTAGTGTAACCGCAGCTTTACCTGTAGGTTTCAAAGAAGCCTAAAACACTCAATTAGTTTAATCAGGTGTCTTTAATTAGGGTTGAAACCACTGATCTCTGAACTGGATTGCTCATGACGTCATGAAAAGCGGAGCCTCCGCACCACCATATTGGTAAACCCTCCTATGCTCAGGCATTCTATGAAATTAATAGGAAATTGTATGATTTTAATGAGAAAACATCTCCTAACAAGGCGCTCGCTTGGATTTGAAGCCTAAACTTGTCCTAAATATGAATACTTATTTATTTGGGATCAGGAAGCTGTTTTGCTATCAATAAAAAAGCTTAATATGGAGAAGAGGATCTAGCAGAATAAAAATAACATGTTCTTTGTTAACAGCAGGTGGCAGTAACACACTATTTTATTTGCGATGCTCCTTTAAATGGAAACCAGCTGTTGTCAGATGTTAAAAACATCATTGGAGGAGACCGCTGCTTTTATGGCAACTACGCAAATACGTTGATGGGTTTCTTTAGGAAATCTATATAAAGATGTTGTACACACACGAAAAAATGTCAAAGAAAGTTTTATTGACACAAATTTAAGCACATTCATGATTCTATTCATCGCATCTCAATGAATAGAAATTGTGTATGCATACTTAAAACCTAGCTTCTTCTGATGTTTATTATGGGTTTGTTAAAATTAGGTGTTTGATTAGCCAAGTACGTTACATATTAAGCAAATTCCTATGATGCCAATACAATTTAAACAATGTCAGGGTAAATTAATCTATGCAATTTTATTTGTGCATGTATAGCACTGCAATATATGGCCTGTTTTTTTCTTTTTATTTTTTTTCTTTCCCCCCCATGTATAAATGCCAGGCAGTTTTGTTATAGGAGTACTTTATATATTACAGTATTTTATCATTTTATGAACTGATCATATTTCAGCTGTTAATACTCATTTTAAAGAAAAAGAGAAGTTAAATTTGCACATAAATGGCAAAATAAGCCTGAAGAGAATCTGAACAGATTTGCCTCATCCTTACTGAACTTCATGTCTGATTTGTAACTGTACACTGACTAATTTTTAAAGCGGAGTGAGTAATGCCTGTAGCGCAGACGTTTGAACTCTCTGTCGGTAGGGTACAGTAAGATGGCGGATCAAACGCTTCCGGTGGCTTCACAGCCTCTTGGCAGTTTAGAATGCAACGAGCAATCCAGTCATTCTATACAGATCAGTGGTTGGAATTAAACTGCAGAGCTACGGCCATCCAGCAACTGAGTTTGACACCTTAAATGAAATTCTATAACACAGTTTTATTGTTTCATGCATTTTTTAAGATTTCTATTATAGGAAAGCTGTGTTTTGTGCTACCGTTTCTTTTTCAATGTCACATGATCATTTAGAAAAACATCCCAATATGTTGATTGTGGTGCAGATGTAGGATATATTGTTTTTTATTATCATTTGAGAAAATAACTGTTTGAACAAATGTCTTTACTACTGTCACTTTTGAATAATTTAATCCATCATTGCTGAAGAAAAGTTCTAAATTATTATTTATGGACCAAGCACCGGCGGTGTGTAGGCCCTATTGGAATTGCACAGTTTCTTCTTTTTCTTCTTTTTTCCCTTCCTCCTCCTCTAGAATGAATTACATTTTTTGAGGGTCTAAACATGCTCAAAAACTCACAAAACTTTGCACACTTGCCAGAACTGGCGAAAATTTACATTTGTTATAGGTTTCGGAAGTGAGTGTGGCAAAATGGCTTAACAGCGCCACCCATACCCTTTTGACGATCTAGTCCCCAGGCTTTAGTGTAAAAATATGTTTGTGTAAAAATGAAAAGATCTATTATTTGGATCTGTGCTTATTACATAAAATAAATGGTAATTAATGGTTTGTTTATATTTTAAAAATAAATTATTTAGACCAAAAGTGTCCAAACTTGGTCCTTGAGGGCTGGTGTCCTGAAATGAGTTCCAACTTGCTTCAACACACCTGCAAGGATGCTTCTAGAAAGCCTAGAAAGAGCTTGATTAGTGTCTGATTGGGGTTGGAATTAAACTTTGCCGGACACCGGCCCTCCAGGACAGAGTTTGAACACCCCTGGTTTAAAACGTTTTAGTTAATAAATTATAAAGATTAGAAATCATATTTACAATTGCATTTTGATCCATAAACACTATTTAAAAAAAAAAATTAATCGTTTTGGTGCTAATGAGCCTGAAAAGATGTTTGCTGTATTAATTATTTTTATACTGAATGACATTTTAGTAGGCATCTTCTGTATATCGGAGTAAAAATGTGTGAAAGTCATTATCTATTTTTCTGTAAATATGCATTATATCTTATATATTTGTTGCAGGAATTCATTCCATATATGGCAGAGAAGTATGGTTTCCAGTATGAGTTGGTGCAGTATAAATGGCCACGTTGGCTTCACCAGCAGACAGAAAAGCAAAGGATCATTTGGGGCTATAAGATTCTGTTCCTCGACGTGCTCTTCCCGCTGGCTGTGGACAAGTTCCTCTTTGTGGATGCGGATCAGGTACAATAACTGAGCTGTGCAGTTGTGTGGCATGAACTCTTGTCTCCGGAGTGCAATAAGCACCAATCTGCCCGTGTGAGATTTATTTTCAGAAGTTGTATGTACAGACAAATCACCCCATTTGCAGTCACTGGAAGTGCACAGCAGTTGTTTGTTACACAAACCAGAGAAACATTATGCATAGAATGATACACTGCTGCCACCTTTGGGTAAAGGAAAATACAGTTTGAGGATAAACGTTGAAAGTATCAATAAATAAAAGTATTACCGACCTATCATATCTTGATCTATTAAATGAAGAACACAAAAGAAGCTATTTTGAATAATGTAACTATGCATTAACATGCATAGTTACATTTTGGTATTCATTGTATACTAGATTCCAAAATTTATCAAAATATCTTTTTTTGTGCATGTTTATCCGATATTAAAAAAACTCAAATTTGTTCCGAGCAAATATATGGAGAGTTCTGTAAATGACAGAATTGACTTGTCTGGATGTATTATAACTGCTGTTTTGTTTTTGAATTGATTGAATGAGGTTTGATGAATGTTATTCTGCTTGGTCCTGCAGATAGTTCGCACAGACCTGAAGGAGCTGCGAGATTTTGACCTAGAAGGGGCGCCTTATGGTTACACACCTTTCTGCGAGAGCCGAAGAGAAATGGACGGATATCGTTTTTGGAAGTCTGGATACTGGGCCAGTCATTTGGCCGGACGTAAATACCACATCAGGTAAGATGGCTTTTGTAAGGTATTTTCATTCACCTTAATATTTATTTGCATTTTCAGACCAGTTTTATTTTACAGAACTTGATCTACATTAATTACTATGTCACATGTTCTTTTTAGTTAGGTTTGCCTTTGCACAGCAACGTTTCAAAGCTTATTATGTGTTTATGCAAGTCATACAAATAGGTCTGATCTGGTCTGATATTAATGGTAAATGTGTTCAAGTGTGAAAAAGAGCAGTTTAGACCATATTAACTTAAGGATGAATGAAAAGTAATATTTAGATTAATCAAATTAGACATTTCTCTAGGCATCTGCTACATTTTTACCTACAGCAATATCGTAATTCTTGTGTTAGCAGTGTGAGTTGATATAATCAAACATACCACATTTTTAAAAAACAAAACAAAACCAAAAATCACATGTTGCTAGTGCAAAAGTATTTCATGGTTGAAGTTATGAAGGAAAAAATACATTAGAAATATACATACTGGTTATTGGCATGAAATAGTGCAGTTCTTAGAGTAATCCAAATGTGATTTCAACAAAGTTGATAATTAAGTTTTTCATTTTAGTTAGATTTAGACACAATATTGTCTTTTTTTCTGTCACCAAAAAGTTGTAAACAAAGATTGAGTGGAACATTTGTGTTTCAGAGCAATACTGTAGGTCAGGGATCACCAAACTTGGTGATCCTGCAGATTTTAGCTCTAACCCTAATCAAACACACCTGAACAAGCTAATCAAGGTCTTACTAGGTATACTTGAAACACCCAGGCAGTTGTTTTGAGGCAAGTTGGAGCTAAACCCTGCAGGGCACTGGACCTCCAGGAACGAGTTTGGTGACCCCTGCTGTAGGTGTTTCTGAATGTTTAATATAAATCAATGATTTATGCACTATTTATTAAGGCAGTCGCTATTTCTAAATCAGCTGTTTATAATAAAAGATTTACGTGACTCAATATGATATGTACGGAACCCCGGAAGGGACGTAGTGGAGGAGAAAAAAAATTGGCTGGGTGAAAAAAAAAAAATGGGTGAAAGAAAAAAATGGGTGGGAGGAAAATATATATTTCTAAGTTTTTGCGTTCTCTCGCAAAGTTTTGCGTTCCCTCGCAAAGATGTTTTGCGTTCTCGCAAAGATGTTTTGCGTTCTCTCGCAAAACTGTTTCTCCACAAACACTTCCTGTTCACTTCACTCACGTAAACCCTCCCGTTTTTGCTGAAATTCTCCCATATTTTACCATTCTACCCCACTTTCTTTACATTACTGTGCGCTGATTGTCACCTTTCACTTTTCAACCTCTGAACCAGTGAATGCATGTTTAAGCGCTGACTGACAGACGCGCTCCATACAATAAACTGATCCCAGATCAGCGTCTGTACGGGCCATTTAAAGGGACACTTCTGTTATCAAACAAGTGCGCAGCAAATGAATCTCATGTTTTGTTTAGTTTAATAACAGAGGTGTCTCTGTAAGAATGCACAGATCTATAATGAAAGCAGTCCATTACTTTAGAAACTGTTTGTGCTCATTTAAGAGAAAATAAGCTGTTTAAAATAAAACATTCAGGACGGAGATGTTTCATATTATTCAGTGTATTTGTCTGTTTAAACATACACCCGCTCCTCTGTAAATGGCGTGTACAGACGCTGATCTGGGATCAGTTTATTGTACGAAGCGCGTCTGTCAGTCAGCACTTATACATGCATTCACTGGTTCAGAGGTAGCATACGCACAGTAATGTAAAGAAAGTGGGGTAGAATGGTAAAATACGGGAGAATTTCGGCAAAAACGGGAGGGTTTACGTGAGTGCAGTGAACAGGAAGTGTTTGTGGAGAAACATCTTTGCGAGATAACGCAAAACATCTTTGCGAGGGAACGCAAAACATCTTTGCGAGGGAACGCAAAACATCTTTGCGAGGGAACGCAAAACATCTTTGCGAGGGAACGCAAAACATCTTTGCGAGGGAACGCAAAACATCTTTGCGAGGGAACGCAAAACATCTTTGCGAGGGAACGCAAAACATCTTTGCGAGAGAACGCAAAAAACTTAGATAGACTTAGAATATATATTTTCCTCCCACCCATTTTTTTTCTTTCACCCATTATTTTTTTTTCACCCACCCATTTTTTTTCTCCCCCACTACGTCCCTTCCGGGGTTCCGTAGATATGGACTATTAGCAACGTTTGGAAAAAAAAAAAACTATCCTTAAAACTAAGGACAGGTGTGACTGAGATGGATTCTGAGTGAGAGTTCAAATCAAGACTGTGATTGTTTACAGGTCCTGTGGAATTAAAATAAAACTTTGCAGATGTTAGATGTTTATCTTAAAGTTATCTATTAGCTAGTGTGCTACAAAACTGTGACAAAATTCAGAATTAGAAAATATAAAGCTGAAATAAACATCCAAAGCTTGCAGTTTGTCATTTCTGCTTAAATGGACCATTTTTTTCATGTCACCTCATGCTTCAGTTTCTCATCAAATCTTGACCAATTAAATGCTCTGTAGAATCTCACATGCCCTGCCCGCTTCAAGATGCTTTTCATTTGCTTCGAAACACTGTTGACTGTGTTTTTCAAAGGGGAGGGGCTACTCTATGCTCCATTGATTAATTATGCAGCTTTACTGTGAAAACATACTAAATGATGATGCATGCCAAACAACCTAGTTTTGACTTTTATATTTTTCAGTAGTATAATGTGGTAGGCCAGATATTTGTCTTCTGTAGAAATAAAACGTATGTATTATCACAAAGCTGCTCTATAATAGTCTGTTTTATTAATTGCTTTATAAATAATTCTTCATTTGATCTGCTTCTCAGTGCTCTGTATGTGGTCGATCTGAAGAAGTTCAGGAAGATTGCAGCTGGAGACCGACTGAGAGGCCAGTACCAGGGTCTGAGTCAAGACCCCAACAGTCTGTCTAATCTGGACCAGGTTAGATCTTCTGTCCTACTGTAAATTGTTCTTCTTTGTCAAACTTTATCAGTGAGAAATGCGACCCTGGCCCTGTTACCATGTGTTTTGGTCAATCTGAGAATGTTTAGATGCCTCTTTTTTGTCTCTTTAGGTGCCTCTTTTTTTCATTTACTTTTAATGTAATAATGTAAATTAAACTTCATTTTACATAAGGCATGCTCCAAAAATAACCCATTCCTTTCAAAACAATATTTTCACTGCTAAATATACTGAGAAACTATTAAAGCAGCTAAATTAATTAAATAAAGAGTAAATAATATTTTTTATTAACTTTCATTGACTTTTTTGCAAAATAGCGTAAATGCACAACCAAAAACATGACTATGATAATTAATTAAAACATACATTTAGAATTAATCTTAATGTTCAGTAATGTAAGTTGAAATATTGAAATTATTTTATTGTTTTATTAGTTCTTAATACTGCATTTATACCAATTTAGCATCTTTGTATCCTTTGTATTGTATTGTAGCATCTAAAATCATTTAACAAATGTTATAGTACATTGAAAGTGTCCTTATACAAATAAAGTTGTCAATTTTTTGCATAGGATGAGGTGTTTATCACACAATGAGGCCAATCAGAACGCTCCCTTTATTCTAAATGCTGAATCGGTACAGTCCTCTGTTTTTGTAAAAGCATTTTAACTATCAAGCATGTTTTATTTGATTGCATTGGCTTTAATTCTGTGAGAAACTTATTTTATTAAATTTATTATTTTATTATAAGCCTAATATAATTTAAATCTGTAGTATACAGAAACAAATAAACAAACACTTGTATTTAGTGTCATCTTAAGCATTTTAATTTCAGATGTGAACAGGGCCACTGGGCTCATCATCTGGACTTTCCATTGATGTTTTTTTTTTTTTTTCCAATCTCAGGATTTGCCCAACAACATGATTCACCAAGTGCCAATTAAGTCACTTCCTCAGGAATGGCTTTGGTGTGAAACCTGGTGTGATGATGCGTCTAAAAAGAAAGCCAAAACTATAGATCTGGTAGGTCTATTGCTATCTACATAACAGTAAAAAAAAAAAAAAACTACTTAAAAGGATTGTGTTTTTACGATTGCTTTGATTTATTTATTTTTCCTCAGTGCAATAACCCACAAACAAAAGAGCCGAAGCTGCAGGCTGCTGTACGTATAGTAGGTGAGTGGAGCGACTATGACCAGGAGATAAAGAGAATCTACAACAACTTCCTGGATGAGAAAGAAAGAGGCACCTTAGAAGGCTATCAGTCAACAGACAGAAAACACCCAGGTGAGATCAGTCTGTGTCTTTGTTTGTCATATTTTGTGGAAAACACTGAATGTCACTGAATGTTTTATTCTGTTAAATGGCACTTTCTGTAATTTAGGGGTCAAATGTATTATACATGTTGTTTGACCTCCTCACAATGTAAAGAAAAATGATAAAATCATGTTTATTTTTGTGCTGTGTTTCATGTGCTGTGTTGTTTTATTTTTTTTTTCTTTTATTTAAAATATTTTATTAGTTTACTAGCTATTTTGCTTTCTTGTTTCTGTTCCTAACTTTTTAAATAAATAATTTAAGTAAAATTTAAATTAAAAATTAGCATAAAAATACACATTGTAGAATTGACTTTGTATTTACATTTTGATTTGAAATAATATGTTCTATAACAAATGTCGTAACTTTGATCTTGAATCTATTTATTAAACTGTTTCTTAATTATAATGCATTTATTTAAAATATACATGATACTGACCCCAGATTTATATATTTAACATATTATGTTTACAATTAATTCAATTTTTAAAAAATATGTTTATTGTTTTTTGCATAAGAAAATAAACAATAACATAAACAGAACAAGCTAAAAATAAAATAAAATAAAAGAGTACAAAGCCCATTTCACAATACACAAACAGTCAGACACACCATTATACAATATCAACAATTAATTAATCGTTTATCTAAACAGGGTGTCTGCAGGGTCTTAATGTCTTAATTTTAGGCCTTAAAAAGAAATAAATTCTCCGAAATATTGTCTTGTAGGTCTTAAATAATTTTAAATGGCTCTTGATTTTCCTTTATGTAAAGCTACCCAATTGATCCAACACACATCCAATCACCAGCAATACATCTCAATAAAACTTTTAGCAAAATTATAAAATATAAAATTATATATTAACATTCTGTTGTGCGTACATTTCGTTTTTAAAGAGTTTTTTAAGCTATGTTGAAAAAAATATATATATGTATACAATTATGGTCTGCTTGTTTTGACGCATTATTTAAAATATGTGGCTATGAAATAACTAATTAGAATTAGTTAGTTTTTTTTTTTTTTTTGATGGGGCAAGTATTTATTTATTTTTTTTCTCCTGGGTGATTAAAAAATCCTTTGTGTTTAACCCTACTGTATACAAGTCTAAAATTTCATTCTTCGTAGTTTAAAATGGGTCTTAAATTTGACTTGGTGAAATTTACAGAAATCCTGCTAAACAAACACATAAATTTCTTGTAAAAACTGTAATAACCTCAAAAGTTTACTCATTATCACAGAAAGTGCCAAGAAACATCTTCTGATTCTTGAGTTAATTCGAGTGTGTTTCTGCTCTTCCTCAATCTTTCTCTCTGTCAGGTGGTGTTACACACTCAGAGCTCTGAGCTGAGGCACTGCAACTGAAGAACAGGGGACTCTGTTCAAAGAGTCGTCTCTTTTTCAACCTTTTTAAAACCAAGCCTATCCTCCAGGAATGGGTTGACATTCGTGCTGAACTTGACTTGAACAGAATTCATGCAAAATTCTTGCGTTTGTACCTGAGGTTTTTGAGGAAATCACACGGACAGACAAAAGCTCCTCTTTCTAGGTAATTTTAATATTGAACCTCAAATAAAGATGCAATAAAAAACAAACAAACAAACAAACAAAAAACAGTTTCACTAGAGCAGAAAGACTGCAGTCGTACAGTAGGGAATGATTTAATTAAATAAATAACTGCATGTGCTCAATTTTATTAATAAAACCGATTTCATAAACATTTCTTTTTTACTGTAACATTAGGCAATGACTCATTTTCATGAAAATGATTAGTAAATCATGAAATTTGAGTTGCAGAATGTTTTTTTAAGGCCACTCATGCTAATGAAAAAATTAATGTCCTAACAGTTGGACTTAAAAGCACAGATCATTTCCTTTGACGAATCACAGTCCAGTTAAAGACTTGCTTTAAATGATGTTTTTGATAAACAAGTCAGTGCTAGCCTGGAAAGGTTTTGAGTTGTTTTTCATACTATGTAGTTTCACAAAATGTGTAAAATCGAATTGCTCATCAAAAGACTTTGAACTCAGGAACAAGTCGTCAGTTGATTTAGTCGTAGCTAAAGATTTAGTTTTGTTAACTTCACAGGAGGGAACTTTAATTTGCTGAAAATTTTCTCTGGGCAACGAAAAGCTTGTTGCAACATAATGTTGGTTTGTACGCTGCAAAAAAAAAAGTGTTTCTAACGTTCTAGTCCAAATATTTAAAGGTTCTTAAATCAAGAAGCATTTCCTGCACAAGTAAAATAAAATATGGTTTGGTTTTCATAAATACTTGGTCAAAATTGAATGAGTTTTTCCTTAAAACAACCTAAATAATGTTGGTGGGGCAAGTAAAATAATATGAATTCAAAAATAATATAAATTTTTTAATTATTTAGCGCTTCTAAAAGAACACTCATTCAATTTGTACCAATTATTTAAAAAAAAAAACAAGCCATATATATTTTTTTTACTTGTAAACTACTTTTAGCTTTTTTTTTTTTTTCTTCCTGATTTGGGACTACAAATAAAACTAAGTGTTTTTTTATTTTTTGCAGTGCACAGTAGTTACACTTTAAAATGATTTATAGTAGCAGCAGCCGCTTTGAATGTTAACACTCGACTGAATGGCCGTTATCAGTGGTTATCAACTGATAGATATGGGCCAGTAGGTTACAATTCATCCACATGGTTAATCAGCTATACTTGTACTTAAAACTCCAGATCTGTTTTTACAGTACATGTTACGGTAGGGTGTAGTGTTGAAGTAAGGGTAGAAGTTAATAATTAAATACAATTAATGGGAAATTTACTAAATAATATACATGATTATCGTGGTTAATCAACTATGCTAATAGAGAAGACGCCAGATCCAGATCTGTTTTTACATTACTGTGACGGTTGGGTTTAGTGTTGGTGTAGGGGTAAAATACAAATTGATGGGAAATTTAGAAAACAATTTAAATAATTTTCGTTAACTTCCAGCCACAGCAGTATGTGATCTACAGCTGATTAACCATGAGGATGGATGAAAACAGCCTTCTGAGCCTACTAGTAGGTGCAAAAGGCCCCTATTCGCCAATATCTGTCAACTGATAATCACTGATAACGCCCATTCAGTCGAGCGATAACATTCGAATTGGCTGATAGCATTCAGTTAATAAAACTCAAAAGTCAACTCTAAAGTCAGTAGTCCCTACAGGATTGAAATCATGGCTGTAGAGTATTATGAGGGCAAAGGGGAAAAAATCTACTTTTTAGCAGACATTGCTTACAGGTTTACAGGTTGTTGGAATTGTTTTTTGTTCGTTTTAATGTCACTCAACTCAAAGATGTGGTGATCTTGTCTGATTGTCACCTATGCTTATTACAATTCGTTTCTGTGGTATTGCTCTTTTAGGTTTTGAGAATGGCCTCTGTTGACCACTATATGTTGGTTTATAATCCATGAAATGAGATTTAAGTAATACAGATGTGTTGCATCTTGAGCGATTAGCTGGAAAAATCACCTGGCAATAGAGCCCAGTGTTTCAGTAATATCAGATTTTAAATGGAAAATTGGGTTTGCGCAGTGCCTTGTGCTTTATTCTGTTTGAGAGGTACATTACAGTCTTGTGGTTTGTCTACTCTCTGCTGTTTTTTATGGAGTATATTCAATATGGGGAAGATGAACTGATTTAGTCAATGCTATGATACTTTGGAATATACTGTAAGAGTAATTGTGGGATGACAATATTTTGTAATAAAAGATGTACCAAATGGTAGCATGTTTGTTTATTTATTTATTTATTTATTTATTGTAAATTACCCATTTTAAGTTTGGTTCTACATATAATTTGAGCCAAAGAAGCAATTTTTAAAGTGTTTAACCCAGTATTTCTCAACCACGTTCCTAGAGGACCATCAACACTGCATGTATCTCCTTTGTCTGTGACACCCATTACACGTCTTTCAGTCTTTGCAAATGAGCTAATGATCTGAATCAGGTGTGTTTGGTTAAGGAGACATGGAAATGTGCAGAACTAGTTTGTATCTGGGAACATGGTTGAGAAAAACTGGTTCAGCCAATGGCAAAAATTAAGACTATCAAACATTTAATTATTATTTTTTGACGTGGAAAAATAATATATACGAAAATATATACAAATAATATATAAACACGACACATATATACACATAATATATAATAATATATACACACAAAAAAAACAATAAATACACACATGCATATGTACATGTGTGTTTCAAGCTTATTTGTTAAAAATATTCATGATTACATGAAATAATTAAGGATGACTCTGCAGCCTGAAAATAATCATTAATTGTCATTGTAAATCTCTATGGTTTGCCGCAATCTTTTATACCACTATAGATTTTACCCATTTTTCAGCAAGTTCATTCATTCTTTCATTTTCTTTTTGGCTTAGTCCCTTTATTAATTAGGGGTCGTAAAAGCTGAATGAACCGCGAACTTATCCAGCTTCTATTTTACGCAGCTGATGCCCTTCCAGCCACAGCACAACTCTGGGGAACACACACTCGCAGCTTATTCAATTTACCTATACCCCATGTCTTTGGATTGAGGGGAAAACCGGAGCACCCGGAGAAAACCCATGCAAACACAGGGAGAACATGCAAACTACACACAGAAACACCAACTGACCCAGTCGGGGTTCGAACCAGCAACCTTCTTGCTGTGAGGTGATTGTGCTACCGATTGTGCCACTGTGCCGCCCCTTTTCAGCAAGTTGTTTAAAATAATTCAATTTTTTTTAATTCTGGTTAAATAAAATGTAACAATGTCACTGAATCATGAAACATTTTCAACTACATTTTTACAAAAGTTGAAAACATTTTATTTGCATTTACTATGCATTTTAGATGTAGATTTTTTGTGTTATTATTTTTTCTAGACACCAAATTGGAACAACTCACCTTTGATTATTATTCGAGTAATTATTACAATTGTTTAAAGATTATTAAAAGTATTTTTGTAGCTGTAGATAAAAAATAAAAACTAAAAAAAACACTCAATGTAATGCATTATTATACCAGGTGATGGCAGCACAATCCAATAGTAAAACTGTACATTTCTTTCATGTCTTCTCTGTAGATGCACATAATATCTATTTTAGAGCAAAAGAAAAACACTTTTTTTTGCATTAACAGGTGTGAACAAAAAGATGAGATAAATGTTTAAGTCATCAATCTTTTTTTTTCATATTACTGATGTCCAATATAACATTTATGTCAGTATAGGCTATAATATAAGGCTTGCAATTTACATTTCAACTATCTAGTTGTGTAGACAAATTAAAGCCCATTTTCCCTTAATGATGAAGTCAATTAAATATCTCAAACCCTCATTCATCCACAACAAATGTCTCCTTGACTCTGATCAATGCGGTTTAATGAATTGTGAAGGGTTATGCAGCTGGTTTGATTTGATACAGATGACTTCACTATTAACACATGAAAGCTATAGGTGACCTATTATTTAAAAGTGGATTTTGCGTTATTTCTCCAAAGCTTGTGAGAAAAAAAAAAGAAAAAACAAACAAAAAAACATAGCATACGTTAATAATTTATTCATTTTCTTTTCGGCTTAGTACATTTAATAATCTTTTTTAATAAATCCCTTTAAAAACTTATCCTGCACATGTTTTCTGTGTACCACTAGAAGGAAGCCTGCGGACCACAGTTTGAGAACCACTGCTTTAGACTATTCTTGAGAATGAGAGCAATTTTTCTTTATATTTAATGTTTCAAAACATGCTTTTAATCTATTGTTGTTTGAAATCTGTACAAGGATTTATCACATTGTTGTTTTTAACATGCAGCATAATCGAAATAATGTTTGAAGAATAATTTACAGTTAAAACTCATATGTTATCACCACCATAGTTGTCAAGTGGAAGGACAGGAAGCAGGTAGGTAAAATGTTCTCATATTTGCTAAAAAATAAAAAGATTTGCATATATAATTGTTCCACAACTTGACTGAGTGTAATAGTTCTTATATTTCCAGATATCATAAAAAGAAGATGGCAATTCAAGAACCGATGATGAAGGTAAACCACAATATGAAAGACGAATTGGGTAAAGTCACTGTAAGTGCCGCAACCTGCAGTCAGGTGAGTGTAGTGCTCGTATAAAGTGAGCTGATGAGGGAGTGTGTGCTATTAGAAGTCAGGCGACAGCGATTGGGTGATTCTGGATGGTGGCTAGGATATCTAAGATTGTAATTATTTTTAAATGAATTAAGTATTGTGTCAAATAGTGACACTAAAGTCTTCTAAAATGTTCTATATTATTTGTATTCCACAAAAAGAAAAAATATTTTCAAAATTTTACAGTCATAAAAAATACCGAAACGTTTCTTGAACACCAAATCAGTATATTAGATAGATTTCCCAAGGATCATGCGACTCTTTTCTAGCATTGCACCAAAACAATCTACATATTAAATGATTATAAAATAATACCTTACTGATTTTTTTTAATTGTCAATTGAGTACAATCATACAACATTTCAAGGTACATTCGAGTCTCAATATGTGACCTCAAGTGACATACAATTTACGTACATTTTTGTCAGCTGTACTAACTATACATAGTACTCTTTTTTTTTAATTATAGAAAGAAAAATAGCATAAAAAAATAATATAAATTAAACAACACATCCAGGGTGAGACCACATGTCATTATATTATTTCTTCCAGAATAAACTCAAATGACCGTCTTCATTATACACATGGGGATAACACACAATATAATATGAATATAACCATATACTTATACACACATTAACATATATTTATCTATCAATTAAGCATCTTCTATTTGTTTAGCAACAAAATCAGGTCTTCTAATACATCCTTCTTTAAATTAACTACAGAAGGGATTTTTTCCCGATCTCAATAAGTTGCATCTATCCAATTATTTAATGTTGTTTAGTACTTTAAACCTGATTTGTGTGCTTTTTTTAATTTAGATCCATCAATGGATTCTGATTGTCTAAGTTTTTCTTTTATTTTCTGATCATAATAATTTTGCACCTTGAGAGATCTCTAAAAATGACTGGATTTCAAGTAGAAAATTTCTCATTAAGTTGCTGGAAGCCTAACATCTCTCCTTTTCAAAACCTTATTGTTTTAATGTATTTTAAAATTCATGTGTTACTTTTTTTTTTTGCCTTGAATCACATTACTTTTTAAATATATTTAAACAGTGAGGTATTATTGTGTAATATTTTAATATATTGATTGTTTCAATACATTTAATCAAATAAATCTGAGCCTTAGATTAATTTTAGAAAAAAAGAAAAACTTTTAAATGTAACCAAGACACATCTTTGAGAGGCCATGTATAGTTGTACATTTCCACATGGCTTCACTTTTTCTAAGTGGAAACAGGTTATTATTGGAGCGATCTAGTGTTACAGTAAGTGTGCCGAGTTTACAGTAATTTCAGTATTAAAATCTCCTGACGAGGGGATAAAGAGTTAATGTTTCTATTTACAGAGAGCGAGAGAAAAAAAGTTTGTCAATATCAATTGAGAGCAGAGCAGTGGAGCCAGAAAGAGGATCATTTACATGTAGATGATAGTTTTAGCCTGGATCCATTCTTTCTCTCTTTCTCTGTCAGTTCATAGTTCCCATGACAACGCGCATGCCATTTATTTCTGTACATTAGGCGCAGACTGCTCGTCCTCTGCTTTGGCTGCTTTTTTTTTCTCTAGACCTTTTTTTTAGGAGGGTGAATTTGCATGTAGATGAGTTTGTGCTGTCTGTCTTTACCACAATCTCTCTCTCTCTCTCTCTCTCTCTCTTTCTCTCCCTCTCTTCCCATGGTTTTATCTTTCCTGTCTTTCTTCCCTCCTTTTGTGACCTTTAATCCTTCAGTTTAGTCTCCATCTCATCTGTCTCTCACCGTTACGGCAAGCTGTTTTACCATTTAATTGGTAAACAATATCTGATATCTGTCTATCATTCTACTAGTATCTATTTGTTAGGTCCTATCTTTTCCATATTAGCCTGCTACTACTTATTTATTTACTATATTAGTGCCTATACTATACTATAACCTTTTTAAATGGTCATGAAACACATTTTTTGAGATGTTATCTGTCATATAAATGTCTCACGTTGCTAAAAGCACTATTAGGACACATATATTTCACAAATAATGGAAATCAGTACTGTGTGCAGTTTTAAACATATTTGTTTTTCCGGTTTAAAAATAAATGTTATATCTGCATCACAGCCATGTGATTATTGTGTAAATTCCAGCGTGGAATTTGGCTGTCTGTACCAAAAGTGATGTCATTGAGTTTCAGCATTAATTCATGAGAAAGCCCTTGGTTCGAACCAATCAGCTTGCTCTTTTGTGAATGAGATGCCACTTTATTAATATGTATGATATAGCGTTGAAGACTGTTTTTACCTGTTGCAGTGTTCAGAAAGATGCCATATTGTGTTGCCAGCCATAATTAAAACATGTGGAAAAAGTAAGAGAAGAATTATTTGGAGAAATGGGTCGTCAAAAGATTTGTTTCCATTTCCCTGCGATGAAAGCACAGTTCGTGTGAGGACCCAAGAATAAAAATATGTATTTATATAGTTGAACGTATGGAAGTGTTTTCATATACGCCTTGAAAAAAATCATCGCATTGCTGGTAGTTGTAACCGGACTCTTCCGCCTTAAAGCTCTGCCCAGGCTGGTTGATTGGCACTCCTCATTTGCATTTGATTTATCATGTGGGG